AAGGAGGAGATGGAGAAGGAGGAGATGGAGAAGGAGGAGATGGAGAAGGAGGAGATGGAGAAGGAGGAGATGGAGAAGGAGGAGATGGAGAAGGAAAGTGAGATGGATACGGATGGTGGTCGTGGTGGATTTGCTGGACCTAGCTTCGTCGATTGAGGGAGGAATTTGGTCTACTTTTGATGAAGTCGCTCGAGCTAAGTAAAAATTGCTCTCATCTCCAGGGAACGGGGGGAACGAAAGGTTGTAAGGCAATTGAACTTCTGAAAAAGACTTGGCCCTTGCCCATCTCCATTGCCGTGCAACTTTTGAACTGATTAACCTTCTCACTTGCCTGGCGATGGAGGCAGAACCGATCAAGAAGCTGTAGCTTTCACGAACTTGTGAAGATCTACCTAAGCGATCACTCAAATCCGCTCTATCTCAAATCACTGCACGATACATGCCGATGTCATCAATGTCTCTGTAGCGGTTTGTCCCTTGCCGAGTCCGCCTTTCTCTTCCGTATGGCCGCATTCCAACCATCATCTCCCATTCCCGTCAAATTTGCATTTAACTTGAATCATGCCCCGACTATTTCCCAGGTCATTCAGAAGCCAGACCTTCTACCGAGTCAAAACTTGTCTATAACACGCCCAAATGAAGCTTGTTGAGAGATTCTGGACAGCAGTAACTTATGCTCTCAGTCTATCATCTTTTCCATCGTTCCACGAGTATGGCATCCAGCAGAAGCCATTATTTGGAGACATCCCATCATCATTGATCAGGCCTGCTCGCCATGGACCAATCTTTTACCCTCCTGGTAGACGACCTCGAGGTGATGGGTCAGAGTTTATGTGCAAGTACGCCAATATGGGTGCAGAACGGACAAATTGTTCTACACCCGAAGATCGTTCATGCTGGCTCAAGAGCGAGAAGACTGGGCGACGATTCGACATCAACACTGATTACGAAATCCTCGCTCCCGAGGGAGTCTTGTGTCAATATACATACACTTGTAGTGGCCGATGGTTCATGTGATGCCGATGGACTCAACTTCACAGAAGCGAAGCTGTTCAACGAAGTATATCCCGGGCCTTAGTTGCAGGCTTGTTGGGGCGACATGCTTGAGGTCACTGTCATAAATAAGTTGAGGTATAACGGAACGAGCCAAGTACAGTCCTCCCCCTAGGGAAATCCCATAATATGTTGAAAGATCTACTAATATTTCTGGTGCTATTTTACTGCTATGCTCTGAAACTCTTACAACAAATACAAATTAAAGCATTTTATAAGTTTCAAATGTATTTTTATATTTAATATTCATCAAGCAGCAAGAAAATCAAGCCGGATTTGGTCGCATAATTGAAATAGGTTCAAATATCCCGAATTTTTTTTTGCTAAAGTATATATTGTATACAGAGTTATGTATTCAAAATTAATTGCGGCGTTTTATAAATATTTTTTTAAATTATAAAAGCATGCTGTGCTCGTTTCTTGCTTGTTCTTTGAAAGTTGATCAGGGATTGCTAAGATTATATAAATTTTTTATAAAACGATTATTATTAAGTTTAAATTAAATTACGCATAGATCATTGCTTGGAATAAGTTTTTTTTTTTTTAAGAATGTTAATCACATTAAATGTTTTATAGTCTTTAAGAGTCGGGAGAGGGAAATGGCTCTCTAGTACGTGATCGCAAGGCCGGTAGCTGGGTCAGATTGGCTTACTCCGGTATCCGGGACCAGGAACTATTGCACGGAAAGATTCCAGACCAATGACAACGCATCTATGAACTGGAGTCTGTGGGAGGTGGAATCATAATGTCAAGATCCAACAGAAGCTGGAGAATTGGAATTAAATAGAAGAAAGCCAAGTCTGGACGCAAAGCTTGATACCGCGAGTGGATCAACCACGACGATGGTGACGCGGCAGGGTTTATTGATCGGCTCCAAAGACTTCAAGACTGGCACTGCCGAAGTCCCTCCACGCCACACAGAGAATTGACCTCGAGCTCAGATGAATCGAGACTTGTCGCATAAAAGACATGATAATTCAAGATTCTGTTTAGGAGTGCTTGAAACGCTGTTGCTCGACATCCGACGAAGGAGGGAAATGCTCCGGTACTTGCCCAGGTGTGCATGCAAGATCGGGGTCTGCGGCACCTTATCAATTGACTGCAACGCTCACAGGGACAGGAAACAGCTGCCTGCACAGCTTGATATCCATCCCTTTCTCGAAATGAAGTGATCAAGATCTCCGAGAGGATATTTCTTTTAATAGAAAACGATGTTCAGGACAGCCAGCGCTATGATCGCATGCGGCCCTTCCCTCGTTTGATCGGCGGCCACCGTTTTCCACAGTTTTCCTTTGGCCTGGGACGTTTTGAGGGATGGTTCCCTGTTTCTGGCGTCGAGGGCGACATCTTGGCGGTACTGAAACGACGCATGTGCTTCTTCCTATGCACACACTGCAACAGAGTCCTCTCATTGCAAACCTTCTGCAGCGTCACATCACCGTATCAACCAACCATATGTGCTTCACGCTCTGGACTGAGGCCGGTACTCGAGTAAGTTGAGACGGAGTGACGGAGACGATGACCGAGTTGGTTCTGTTGGAGTCGCCGTCACCTCAATCACATCGAGTCACATCAGATGGCATAAACCGAATATCTCTCCCCTGTTTCGTTCCTTTTCTTTCCTTCCCTTCCCTTCCCATTCGTTCCTCCCTCTTTCTCTCCCTCCCATCTTCCCCACCGCGGAGGGACACACCCTTTCTTGTTTCCCCCATACTGCCGTCCAAGTCCATGTTCGCGACAGGCTTGATCCGAATTGTCCCAAACCCAAACGTCCTGACAGTTCGCCACGCGTTTCAAGGACGACCATCTCCCAACAACCCCATCCGATCATAAAGACTGGGTCCTTCCGGCTTTTGATATTAAAAGTCCACATGGTCGCTCTCGCCGTCGCCCACGCTGGCGAGTCGCATGTCATCGTATCGCACTTGTATTCGTGTATTCGTCGACCCCTGCACATCGTGTCCAAATCCAGTCCGCGCCACGCCGCCGTGCATACACCACCCATACCACACCTCACAGACCGGCCCCGATATAATTTGGCTCGGAAGGCGGTGATTGACCAACCAAGTGGGGTGTCTACGTCGTTAGCTGGAAGAGTGGGCTGCCCCTTCTTTTAGGTTATCAAGAAAATCTCTCGCTTGAGGCGAGGTATATACGAGATGCCACCCGCCGACGCAGCTGCTGGGCAGCCATCACAACAACCACAGTCGTTTCGACCGTTGGAGTACTGGAAGCCTCCAAAAGCAGTGAAGCACATTCGAAAGAAAAGCCGGGATCTACTTGCCTCGACTGGAATTGGGAGATCCTCAGCACCGGACCGACATTCGTTTATTGCGTCAAAGTTGGAAGTGGGTATTGTGGAAGATTTGGAGCACGATAAGAAAGATATGTCATTCGCTACGATTCGGGATATGGCTGGGAGAGCAAAGAACGGTGCACATTCAAACTTTCAGATGACGGATAACTATGGACGACCGTTGGGACCACCGCCTGAGTATAAAGTCGATAGAGACGATACCTTATACCACCACCATCCGTGGTACAACTTCAAGTATTGGGGAAAGAAAGGATGGTTGACCTTCTCGGCCGTCATTCTTGCCATCATAATCATCATCATTGTTGTTGCTGTGGTCGAAGCCAAGGCGAACCGATATCCGGACTATAGCGAATTGTCCTATTCACTTGCGGAAACTTGTATGTTTCGTCCCTTTTCATCTCATTCAGATCAATCATTAACCAACCCAGATTCCGGAGCCGATTTTTTCGACAACTTCGATTACTTTACAGGCTACGATCCATCATCCGGCTTCGTCCATTACGTCCCGGAAGATGAAGCTACCTCCCTCAACCTTACCTACGCCTCTTCATCCTCCGCCTTCCTCAGGGTCGACACCTCCGTATCCAACACATCCGTCCCCAATGCCTCCACTGGCCGCTTCTCCGTCCGCGTAACATCCAAGAAGCAATACGGCCTCGACAACCTCTTCATCTTCGACGTAAAGCACTCTCCTCTCGGCTGCGGAACCTGGCCTGCATTATGGCTCTCGGATCCCAGCAACTGGCCCACAAACGGCGAGATCGACATCATGGAAGCCGTCAACGTAGTCTCCTCCACCAACAACCAGATGACGCTCCACACCTCATCCGGGTGCAGCATGAGCGTCAAACGCAAAGAGACCGGCAAGTCTCTCACAACATCCTGCGTGAACAGCACCGACGACAACGCTGGCTGCGGCGTCGATTCCAGCACCGACAAAACGACCTTCGGAAGCACATTCAACACCAACGGCGGTGGCGTCCTCGCCATGGAACTACGAAGCGCGGGGATCAGGATGTGGCAATTTGCACGCGACAGCGTCCCCGTCGACGTCTGGACGGGTCCGGAACCGGACACGTGGGGCGAGGCCACGGCCGATTTCCCGAACACGGATTGTGATATCTCGAGCCATTTCCGGAATCAGAGTATCATTGCCAATATCGATCTCTGCGGCAGTTGGGCGGGCACGCAGAGTGTTTATGGGGAGAATTGTAAGTCTTGTCTTATCGAAAGGAAAGTGATGTGCTAATGTGGATGAAATGAAATAGGTCCGGGGACGTGTACCGATTACGTGGCGAATTATCCGGATGCGTTTACGGATGCGTATTGGGAGTTTGGCAACTTTACCGTTTGGTCGGCGGCGAATTCTACGGCTTCTTCTTCTTAATCGTGAATTGGGAGTAGTGGTGGTGGTGGTGATGTAATTTTTATTTCTTTGTTTTGTTTTGATTCGTGTTATATGGTGGGGTTCTGTCTTCCCTACGGGAGGAAGTGTTTGGCGTTCCGGTCGGGCTCGGGCAATCAATAGATGGATGGATGGAGAGACGCTGGACGTGGTTAGAGATGGGTGGCTGGTTAATTGGACTGCGGTGTTGGCTTGGCTGGAGGCGTCGGAATGCTTCGGCAGAAACAGGATGTGAGTGTGAATAGGAGACGAGGAAAAGGAGAGAAATGAAATAAACGGCAGTCATCAAATCCGAGATTTCCGGTGAACATCCAATATCCAACATGCAGGAGTGAGGGCGCGAGGGATGAGAAACAGGGGAGGGGTTCTTCTCGCTTGTCACGGTCAAGCTAGGCTAGGTACATATATGGTTGCCTAACGCATGGGGGTTTCGTTCCGATGTCCGGTGTTCTTACAGTAGATGGGAATGGGAGTGAGAGTGAGAGCTGGGTTTTTATTTGTTGTTTTGCTGTTGGATGGTATTCGGTTGGTTGGGGTAAGCTTCTGGCTTCTGTTTGTAAAGAAGGACATGGAAAAAAGGAAAGGGGAGGAGAGGATTTATTTATTGAAGTTGGGTAAGCTGGGTGGTGGGTATTATTTACCGGTACTTCTTCATATAAGTAGAGTTGGCTGGGTATTCTTTATAGGGAATTAATTTTGAGTACATAGCTGAGTAGGTAGGTTGGTAGGTAATTAAGGGGTTTATTTATTCCATTTTTGAATGATGTGTGTTTTGGGGTTTGAAGTAGGTAAGTAGGTAGGTAGGTAGGTAGTTTCGATTTAAGAGGTGGTTTGAAGTTTAGGTTGTTGAGATTCCTTCTTTGTATGACAGGTAATTTCTTCAATCTAGAACGGGAACTAGAACTATTGTTTAGAATCTTTAATGTCTTCAACATGACCTCCCCCCCCCAACATTTTCTCCGACTCTCTTCACCGCCTCCTTTCCCTCGATTCTGATCTCTCATCCCCGCCTCACTCGAATCGAAGCGAAATCCTTCCCCCTACCTACTCTGCCTCGGTTTAGTAGCTTGTACGTTTCCTTCCTTCCTTCATACTTTCTATTATATCTTTTATTTCCTTTCTACGTTCCCCGCAGCTAATAATACTCACAAACACCATGCTCATTCAGCATACTCCTCCTTTCATCTTCCTTCTTCCAAGTGAGCCGGAAATCTATTTCAAGCGTTGGGTATTGAAATAGTAAGTAGATCTGGATCCGGACATGCAGTGTAGATGGCTGATTAATGGGTGGGTGGAGGTTAGGGGGGTGGAGGTGGTAAGTGAGTGGGTGTGTTATTTGGGAGGGGGTTAGGAGATTGAGTAGGAATGGGGATAGAGGGAGGAGAGGTGAGGTGGACAGGCTGTTTAGTGTTGAGTTCTTGGCTTATCTAGCTTATAAATCATTATGAAACGAGGGATGCATTTCCTCACCACACTCGAGCCATAGACACGGACTGAGCTCACCAAATGCCCAATAGGAAGTACCTCTCTCAACTGATTTGTTCTGAATCCCATATTCTGACATTTTCCAACCATCGAAACAAACAAAAGAAACCAAAAAAAGACTATCCCCCGAACAACGCCGATACAAATGCTTCAACCTGTGGATATATCGCAACGCGCTTAAACTCCAGCATCATCCTGAACAATATCATCCTCAGTAGCATAAGTATCCCAGTTCGCACACGTGCTATTAACAGTCGCAACATCCATCAAAGCCACCATCTCGCTCTCACGCTCGAGTAATTGTAGCGCGAAACCTTCAGATGTGTGCCATGCGATATGGCAGTGCATTAACCACGCCTATGATTATTGTCAGCTTCCAAATACCACACGAAAAGAGAAGAAAATAAACTTACACCAGGATTATCAGTAATATAAGCCAGCACCAAATACCCCGTCCCAGGCAACATCGCCACATCTCTCCTCGGGCTATCAGTCGTGGTCAGGGTAACCGTATCCGCATCATACGTCCCCGTGCCCTGGGCCAGGACCTGTGATAAATCAGTACCTACGTATACACATTTAACATCTCAGAGACGAGGAGAGGACATACCCAGAAATCATGCCCATGCAAATGAATAGGATGAGCCTGCGCAAACGTCGTCTCGATAATAAAATACACCCATTGATCAGCAGTCGGGAGCTCAATAGCACTCTGCTCCGCCGACCAAGTATCATTCCCCTCCGCAACCTGCAGCACGGTCGGATAATCCCATTGAGATACAAAAGACGTAGATCCCATCTCCCACTTAATAGCGCCTGCCCCGCCCGTCAACGTCCCGATAAAATCGTCCGTGACGGACGCGCTGGTGCCCACTTGGTACGATAGGTACGGGACTAGAGTCGAGATATCTTCGTCGTCGCAGGAATCCTCGTAGTCGTACCCCGTGGAGCTCGGATCCGCCGTCGAGGAGCTGTCGTAGCGGACGATGCCGAGGATGTTATCGACATTGTCGTTGTCAGAGCATGTTTCTTGCGGGATGGCGCGCATCCAGTAGTTGGACACGGCTTGGTCGGCGGTGACGATCACGTCGTAGCGCTCGCCCATCCCGATTGACAGCATAGTCGTGTTATAGGGCACGATGGGGACGAAATTCGTGGAGATGACCGTCATGGTGTGGTTGTCGATGCTGAACTTGAAATGGGTGTCCGCGGCGCCATTCACCAGCCGGAGCCGGTACGACGTCCCAGATGCGAAAGTGGTCTCGAATCGCGAGCCGGAGTCGTTGTAGGTGTTTGTGCTGTTGATCAAGCAGTTGTCGAAGGTGTGCGGGCCGCTGGTACCGGCGATGGCGTTGAGCTGGTCGGCGGTTTGGTGGCTCCAGTCGTTCAGTAAGAGGTTCCCGAGGTCGACGTCGTAGTTGGCGGTTGCGGGGCCGTTGATTATGATGCCGCCCAGGATGCCGTCCCAGGCTTGTACGAAGAAATGGCTGTGGTATCAGGAGCTGCCGTATTGGGTTGCCCGCCAGGTGTAGGTGATGCTGTTGCCTGGGGCGGTGGGACATTGGGTGATGGATGCTACGCCGTCCATTTGGTTGGTGTAGTTTTGACGGATACCTATAAGTAAGAGTCAGGTATCTTCTGGCAAGCGAGGCAAGGGTAATATTGGTTACCGTGGGAATGAATGCTGGTGCCATTGTTCTCCATAGAATTTGTTACATGGACAACTGAATTGGTCAGTTTGAATCAGATACCAAGAACGGAATCACTCACCAACAGTGTCACCCCAACCGGCAATGATAGTAGGACCCGGGAAAGACCCGTTGACGGTCAAGACAAGCCTTTCGTATCCGTCTGGGGAAGCAGTCCCATTCTGTATGTCAAACCAATACTCGCGAGTTACCCCAGTATCTGGGACAGTCTCGTAGTAATTGGTGGAGAGATCATAATCACCCCAGCAAGAGCGATCTGTAGCACTATTCGTGCATCTCTTAGAGAGTTGATTGGAAGTAGAAGCGGGAGCCGCAAAAGCAGTTGACAAGGCAGAAGCAGCCAAGAACAAAGAAGAGAAAAACATTGTCCACATGAAAGACAGGGAAGAAGCCTGTCGAGGGGAAATGAGAAGCAATGAGAGACTTGATGATGAACCAGGGAGAAGATGAGGATTGTCAAGCGTTCATGTGGACATTTGTTATATATCTAACTGGATGGACAGAAGCAGAGTTTGACTTGCTCGTCCGACACCGAAATTGCAAGCTTAGCCTTCCTGAATTGGGATATTCAAGGTCGTCGTATGTGGCCACGAGTCTGTGATGTTTCTTGGCTGAGAACATGATCTGAGTGAGGCTCAGTGTTTCTTGTTTCCGCCGTCGAGAGCCCACCGTCTGGCCCCGCGTTACTCGGATCGACGACACTGACTACGACTGCAGCTCCAGCGGCCATCGAACATGACTGAGATCTTCTAGGTATGGCTTACATAGCCACGGACCCCTCATCAAGCTACTCCAACTTGACATGGACCATCGACAGCACTGGTGCCGCTCCATGTAAGACAACGCTTGATCCCTTGAATCTCTCCATATTTGCCAGTCATTTACGTACAAACAACTAACAAACATCTAGGGAACGCAACTATCACCAATTCCACCAACGTCGGAGAGTTCTATATTGTCACAGCAGACTCTGCTTACGACTCTGCAGGATTCATGTCCGGCAATCAAACCACAAACGTCACCGGCGCTGTTACGTCCGGATTCGCCACATTCGGAAGCCAAGTTGTCTTCATCGATAACGGAACTTATGAAGCTCAGTTCTGGGCCCAGACGACCGACGAGACAAACGTGTGGTTTTTGAAGTGGAATAGTGCTGGCTCTTCCCAGACGGATAGCACGCCTGTTGCGATCAAAATAACTGCGCCCAGCAATTGAGCAGCACTTGGTGGGCAAGCGAAAGGGGAGTTGAGGGAGAAGGGAGGCATATATTTGTTTTTCTTGGGTCTGTTTGGAATTGTTTCTCAGGGACTAGGCGAGGGGCGGGGAAGTGCAACATGTACATAGTAAACAGAACGTAGATCGCATGAAATGGAGATCTTGCGACTGGAAATCGTTCAGAAAGATAGCATTATAAACCTCCCCACCGTTTTGGCAAATTGAGCAACACGTGACAAGAAGTTACGACATTCTGGGCATCATCCTCGACTCGAAATGTCTCGGTCTAGTCTTATGATGTAGCATTGGATGTGGCTAGGAAACCCATAAAGCAATTAACAACAAGCATCGTTTTCAATCAAGTAACAAAACATAACTTCTCTGACGAAGAGATATCTTGTATCTCTTGCCTCCTCTCTGTTTTGGAGCCCAGTACACTTGCCCAAGCTACCTAAGTTTCAAGTAAGGGAGGATGAAAGGGGATGTCAGTGAGAGCCACTGGAGGAGCATCCAGAATCTGGCTGCTGATTCCAGATCAGAACCGATCACCCGTTTGAAGCTCTCTCGTGATCTCGCTCATAAATGTTGTGACTGACTCTCCATCATCGTGATAGGTCAGAAAATGTCTTCGTCAAAAGGAAGTTCTGCATTCTCAAAGAGAAGGGAACCAGTCCGCGCAGCTTGATCGGCGATGTGAGTCAGTCACGTGGACATGGCCTAACCAAAATGGTACACAATGTTCAGCCATCGTGGAACATCAAAACGCCACCATCGAGATTGGACAGCAGGAACTGCGAGGTCTCTTGAACGACGACCGGCCATGAGACATGAACGACAAGAGGCGGAATGCCTCGATACTGACCCTTGGGCTAAAAGAGAGAGTTATATGCATCTCGGAAGAATCTCCGCAGAGATCGCCCAGACCCATTTCGACTTGTCGATCCTGTGCAGCCTGACCGACCATGGGTGAGCATCGGCATCATCTGAAGAGGGCACGGGGTGGTGCACAATCAGACCTCTATTTATCTACCAGAGACTCATCGTCACCAAGTCCCTCAGGTATGGAGCGCCCTGCATTCCGCCTCTATGAATTTCAAGCTGACTTAAGACACAGAGACTGGGGAGTTTGGAGACTCCGAACAAAGCGACCTGCGATCACTGGACCGCATTGGCATCACAGAGTTACTTGAAAATGACAGTCGACCAACATTCATCATAGACCTTGTTGCTTCTGAAAAGGAGATTAATGGACTCCTGAAGGTCACTTGGTCGAACAAGTCGTTGAAATTCTTCGACGGCTTAAGGAGGGTCATCAATGCAGAAACTTACTATCCTTCTCTTACCCCACCGCGCACACCCTCAGCTGCTTTAGCCGCAGCAGAGGCAGCGTTCAAGGAATGGGCAACCAGCATGCCTGACTTCGATAATGAACTTGACGGATATATGCCTCGATATGAGTTTAAGAATATGTATTGGACTTGCTGTACTCTTCGAAAACGATGGAGAGTGATCAGTGCCTCGCAGGTTCCAAGTCAGCGGAAGAAGAGCCACGGCACCCCTCGATCAAGTCGCTCAAGTTCGAGATCTGCGCCAGGCTCTAGTCGAAGCTTCAGCACTGAAAGATCTAATACTGACACCATGACTTCGGAGGAGTCCGAACTCTACAAACAACTTGCTGACAGTGAGTCCAAATTCAAAGTGATGACGGAACTGAACCCTGTTGGGATGTACTACCTATCTCCAGATGGGAATATTTTATATTGTAACGACATGTGTAAGCTGTGATATGTTCTATCTGTGTTTGGATTTCCTGACGAATTGCACTAGGGTATGAGATCACCGGTCATCCTCGAGGCTTGGAAGGAGAAATGTACGTCTCGCAAAAACCCGGTCCCTTGCATCTAGTGCTGACTTGAAAAGGTCGTTCATGAATGTACTTTCCGAAATTGACCATCCAATGATGGCGGTGGAATGGGAGATATTGACCACGACGAAAGCCAGACGTAACTTTGAGCTTCGCTTACGGAAGCCATGGGTCGACGAGATCACTAAAGAGGAGAAGCAGCGGTGGATTCTTGCGTCCTGTGATCAGGAGTTTGATGAGGATGGAAAACTCAAGACTATCATGGGCTGCATGTTCGTCGTCTACTCAATCTCGAAGCGACGAGTTTGCTAACGACCTTAGAACCGATATCAGTAGGCAAAAGCACGCACAGGAAGATGCTCTTCACAAAGCAGCTCTCAAGGAAGAGCTTGCCAGGACCACTGAAGAGGCGGCGCACCACGCGAAGAATTTCCAACAAATGGCAGAATTGGCTCCTTGTGGCAAGTCTCAATCCCGAAGGAGGTTTGATTGACTAACGATGTCTTCAAGGCATGTTTACATTTAATAATGAAGGCACCATCACGTGGGCGAACCCTCTGTTGTAAGTTAATGTTTCCGATTCGACCATTTCTCAACCTAGAGAAACAAGCGAACTTATATACTGATAATCTTCCAGCTACGAAATGATAGGCCACCCAAGGAACCTTGAAGAGAATTCCCCAATGTCCTTTCTTAACTGCGTGGAGCAGCAAGATCGGCAAAAATTTCATGAGGCTTGGGAGAAGTTGACAGTCGCAAGAGAAGAAATTAGCATGGAGTATGTGTTTCGTCTCGGCGTCCCTTCATCATCCCTTCCCTTACGTCAAACATTCACAAGGAACTAATGTGATATGTATGAATGCTTACCTTATTTTCAGACTGCGGCTGAAGAAGCCCTGGATAGAAGACAAGGAAGGAGCAGTACGAGATGCAAAATGGATCTTGTTCTTGGCTTTGCCTCAAGTCTCTGTCGACGGAACTTTGACAAAAGTTTTCGGATGTACGACAGATATCTCAGGCTTCAAGCTTGCTGAGCGAATTCAGATGGAAAGTCGTTTGAAGGCAGAAGAAGCAAAAAAGCAACAAGAGACTTTCATAGACATGACTTCGTACGTATACGAACAACTCACACATCATTCTGAGAAGTTCGTCTGATGAACCTTAGTCACGAAATGCGGAATCCTCTGAGCGCGATCATGCTGTGTGCTGATGGTGTTGCCAATTCGGTCATCGACTATCAAAGCACCAAAGATCAGACTATCGACATGCTGCAAGATCTCCTAGAGAACAACCTCGATGCAGCACAGACCATTGTTCTGTGCGCTCAGCATCAGAAACGAATCATTGACGACGTTCTAACACTTTCCAAGTTGAATTCAACCATGTTGCATGTTACCCCGGTCCAAGTCCAAGTCGAATCTACAGTGAGGAGAACCTTGAAAATGTTTGAGAGCGAATTACAAGCACATGAGATTAGTATAGACTTTACAGTAGAGTCCTCATATCAGCAAGAAGGTATAGATTGGGTCCTATGTGATCCTGTACGACTAACGCAGATTTTCATTAATCTTCTCACGAATGTAAGTCAAAAAATACTATTATTTGGAGACCAGCTAATGTATTCCAGGCCATCAAGTTCACTAGGACAGAATCCAAACGCGAAATTTCTGTCCATCTCGCAACCTCAATCTTGACCCCACCAAGCGAAATAGCAACAGAGATTCAGTGGTTTCCATCCAAGGCTTCTAATGATATTCAAGACTTGACTCTCGCTCCTGATTGGGGTACGGGGCAACAAGTATACCTGTACTTCGCTGTGACAGACACAGGGAGGGGTCTTTCAGAAGATGAGAAGACACGACTATTTCACAGATTCAGCCAAGCAAGCCCTAAGACTCATGTTCAATACGGAGGCTCTGGGCTAGGCCTCTTCATATCAAGAGAACTCACAGAGCTACAAGGAGGAGAAATCGGGGTAGCATCTCGTGAGGGAATAGGAAGTAAACACACTCCTTCCAATCTTGACAACACCACCACTAATAACTCTCCAGGCACCTTCGCATTCTATATCAAAGCTCGAAAAGCCACAGGAGTCCTAGTAGAAGCACCCATCGGAATCTCCTACTCACGATTACCAACCTCCTCGAACACCGAATCCAACGGCACCCCGCGACCAACACGACTGAAATCCGACTATCACATCCTTCTCGTCGAAGACAATCTCATCAACCAAAAAGTGCTCAGCAAACAGCTCCGTAGCACAGGCTCAATCGTCCACGTCGCAAACCACGGCGTCGAAGCCCTAGACTTCCTTTCCAAAACGATCAAATGGAAAGACACTCTACCTTCTTCTCAGAGCAAGAAAATGGACCTCTCGCTCATACTGATGGATCTCGAGATGCCCGTTATGGATGGGCTGGCCTGCACCCGACGAATTCGGGACTTGGAACGAGAAGGGAAGATTATTGGGCATGTGCCTATTATTGCCGTGACGGCCAACACGAGGTTGGAGCAGATGGAAACGGCGATCGAGGCTGGGATGGTAAGATATCTGATCTGTGGAGTGTACTGTACTTAGCTGATGATATGTTATAGGATGATATTGTGGGTAAACCGTTTCAGATCCCGGAACTTATGCAGAAGATGGATCAATTGATGTGGAAGGGACATTGAGGATTGTAGACTGGTTGTTTAGATTGAGATCAATACCCCTGTGTGCGTGGAGTACTGGCATATAAAAGGAGCGCGTAGCGGGCATTTCACAGTGCTAGGAAGGTCATTGCATTATTAGAAGGATAATTTGGACGTCTGTCGCTGTCGGTCTGTGCTACCAAACTTTTGGTCGCAGCTCTTATCTCAGATAATAATCACGAACATTCTCAAGTCAAAAATATCGATATTAAAATACCCAACATTATACTCCCATAATCAATCTCCAAGTGACGGACAATATCAGGAGGAACTATAAGTCTCCTGTTTCCGACATCTGTCCATTATCTGGGTAAAGGCAATTGAGCGGGCAGCTGACGCTCGAACTGGCGAAGTGGGATATTTGTGTCGGACAATAAAATGAAAGAAAGCACTGAGCAATCTGTGGATGTCACCTTTCAGTCGGGAGAAACGGAGGACAATCCTAAAGCAACAGTAATAGATCATCAGGTTGCACACGAGATATAGGTTGCGACTTTGATGCAATAATCAATTGTCCACTCTCTCAACAACACCCAGCCCAAGTATGGAAATCTAATCAAAATACAAAGGCCGAATATCAAAGTTCAGCCAACCCAGCGTCTAGCACTCCTAAACATCCTAACCCACGGCCCAAACTCACCCCACTGCTCTACCTTCTCCTTCGGCACATAGCTCCCAACATCAACCATGATCGTCCTTTCCGGATGAGGCATCATAGCCAGCACTCTCCCATCAAGACTTCGCACACCAGCGATACCTTCCGGGCTACCGTTGGCGTTGAATGGATATCTCGTCGTGACGCTTCCCCTGTTGTCTGTGTAGCGGATCGGGATCAAGCCATCGGCGTTCATAGCCTCGATGTGGGTTTGATGTCTGAACGAAGCCCGCCCTTCTCCGTGCGAGACTGCGATAGGGAGTGAAGACCCATTCATACCGTGCAAGAACACCGAGGGGGATTTGGAGTTATCTTGGATCTTGACCATGGATACTCTAGCCTCGAACTGCTCGCTCTTATTCTCCAAGAAGAGCGGCCAATGCGAAGTCCCTGGAATGAGTTCCGCGATCCTGGTTAGCATTTGACAACCATTGCAAACTCCCAGAGCAAAGGTATCTGGACGCGCGAAGAAGCGTTGGAATTCGGGGCGAGCGTTCTCTTCGTGCATGAGGATGGATTTCGCCCAGCCTTGACCGGCGCCTAGGACGTCACCGTATGAAAAGCCGCCGCAGGCTGCAATGCCGACGAAGTCTGCGAGAGAGCGGCCAGAGATGATATCCGTCATGTGGACGTCGATGGGGTCGAAGCCAGCGGCTTTGAAAGCGAAGGCCATCTCGGCGTGGCCGTTGACTCCTTGCTCTCGGAGAATTGCCACGCGAGGTGCTTTGGCGAAGACGGAGGTGATTGAGGATGTGAGGGGGAGGATGGACTCTTTGGGATCGAATGTTAGTTTGTAGTGGAGGCCAGGGTCATGGTCATCTTTAATATTTTCGTATTCAGCGTCTGCACACTCGATGTTGTCACGAATGCGCTGCATCTGGTAGGAAGTGGTTGACCATAATTGTTGTAGCTCGGCGCGTTCCATACGCAAAATGGAAGTCTGGCCATAACGAATGGACAACTGTTGCTTCGACGATTGAGAAACTCGCCCAATCTTTCTGACCAGACCCTTTGGTGGACCACAAGTTGAAAAACAGCTGATGAATCTGATCTCGTCTGATTTCCTGACTTGGAAGATGGCACCAAGCTCTTCGTTGAAGAGAGTATCCAGTACATCTGGAAGAGCAGAGCTCTTTGTGAAGTTATCAATCATGATTTCAGCTCCGCATCGACCTGCGAACATCATCTCTGCGAGGGTGGTAATCATTCCTCCGTCTGAGATATCGTGGTAAGCAAGTACAACATCAGACTCGTGCATCTGTGAAATAGCATCGAAATAATCGAGAATCAAATCTGGATCTCTAACATCTGGAGCTTGGTTTCCGAGTTGACCAAAAGTTTGTGCCAATGCAGATCCACCTAATGCTTTGTGACCTTGTGCAAGATCAACGTACATGAGAATGGTCTCTCCGACATCCTCGGTTCTCCGTAGAGCAGGCGTCCAAGTGTTTCTGATATTTGCAACAGGAGCAAATACGGAAATAACGACAGTCATAGGTGCGGTGACACTCTTGGCTTCGCCACTTTGTTGATCCTTCCATGACGCTTTCATGGATGTTGAATCTTTGCCAACGGGAATGCTAATACCAAGTTTGGGACACAGGTCCATACCGATAGCATGAACTGCTTCGTAAAGAGCGGCACCTTCACCAGGGTGGTTGACCGCAGCCATCCAATTTGCGGACAAGCGGACTCGTGCAAGATCTCCTTCCTTTGCGCGAAGGATATGTGCTGCAGCAAGATTCAACAAACTTTCTACTACGGCCATTCTTGCAGAAGCACCGGGGGAGATGAGTGCAAGTGTGGATTTCTCGCCCATACTCATAGCTTCACCACTCTTGATCTTGTCACCAATATTCAAAGCGGTAGCAGTAACTGCAACATCAGCAACAGGAGTTTGCCATGGCCCGACCATTTGATCCCTGACGGTCATACCGCCAACAGTCCGATCGCTGATGGTGATCAAGAACGATTTGGAGCCGACTGCGGGAAGTTTGAAGACACGTTCTATGGCCTTCTTCAACAGATCATGCTCAGGAATCTGAGGGTAGTTCTCGACAAGACATTTTCGGGCGTCGAAAGCCTTCAGAACAGGTTTCCTTGACTTGACTATGCGATCAAGTCGCCTGTCTTTAGGGAAGAGTGTTGACATCGGGACGTCGATCGGTCGAGGATATTGGGTAGACTCTCGATCAGTGACAATCAACCTCGCGACACCATTTTGATCCTTCGCCAGAACAGTGCCAACATCAGAAAATCCACATCGTTCTCGGTCTAAAATAATGTAAGCATGATATCATAAGCCAAGGGTCAGGCAAACTTACTGCAAATGCTAACGAATCTGTTGAGACCATCCTGGTTGACAATCATAACGTATCGCTCTTGGGCTTCACAACACCAAATTTGCAGAGGGCTCATGCTTCTATCAGCATTCTCGACTTGTCGCAGCTCAAAATGCCCACCGTATCCAGCATCCTTAACAAGTTCAGGAAGTGCGTTGGAAAGTCCTCCAGCACCTACATCATGGATAAAGGCAATCGGATTGTTCTCTCCCAAAGCCACACATGCGTTGATGACCATCTGGGCTCTGCGTTCCATCTCAGGATTTCCACGTTGGACACTGTCGAAGTCTAGTTCCACTGAACCCTCACCTGATGCGTTACTCGATGCAGCGCCTCCGCCAAGACCAATGAGCATTGCTGGACCACCGAGGACAATCACATGAGCACCTTCCTTGACATCTCGTCCATCCTTGAGAGCATGTTGAGGACGAACTGTACCAACGCCTCCTGCGATCATGATTGGCTTGTGATACCCACGTATATCGTGACCGTCAGCAGTATCGACATCAGCCAACAAAGTACGAAAGCACCCCGTAAGACACGGGCGACCGAATTCATTATTGAACCGCGCACTACCTATTGGCGCTTCGAGCATGATATCCAGACTGCTGGCATAATGTGCTGGCTTGCCGAAATCCATTTCCCAAGGTTCTTTGTGGTCTGGGATCAATAGGTCTGACACCCAAAAGCCACAAAGTCCTGCTTTCGGAGTAGATCCTCGACCAACTGCTCCCTCGTCTCTAATCTCACCTCCCGAACCAGTTGCTGCTCCAGGGAAGGGAGAAATAGCCGTCGGGTGATTGTGAGTCTCGACCTTAGCAAGAAAGTGCACTTTCTCCTTTGTCTGTCTCCAACTTCCGGTAGAGTAATCAGGTGCCCAGAAGCTTGCCACCTCTCCTTCTAACACAGCTGCATTGTCGCTGTACGCCGACACAGTGTACTTCGGATTCTCATTGTGGGTATTCCGAATCATCTCGAAAAGACTCTTGCCCATACCTATCCCATCGATAGTCCAGTTGGCATTGAATTGCTTATGTCGACAATGCTCCGAGTTGACTTGTGCAAACATAAAAAGTTCAATATCGTAAGGAGATCTCCCAACCTGCTTATATGCTTGGACTAGATACTCCATCTCAAGTTGATCGAGAGCAAGTCCTCGCTTTTTGTTGTACGCCTTCAGTACCTCAAGAGCTTCGGCTCCGTCAGCTGACAGGTCGATGACCTCCAAAGGAAATGGTTGGCCTTCAGCAAACATCTGATGGAGATCTGGCTCAGTCGTGCTGATTTTCTCTGTCATTCGATCGTAGAGAACATCTCTGAAAGGAATATCGTCGCTTTCGAATGGCTCGACGAAGGTAACCAAGATAGCGCGACCTCTCTCAATGCGCTCCACCTCGGTTTTGAGGCCACATACATGAGCAATGCTCGTGGCTTTGGAGCTCCATGGTGAGATGTTCCGAGGTGTAATATAGTAAATCTCAGATAAGCTTCCTGGCTGCTTCTCTAGAATTTTGGCATCCGCGGTTCCTGGAATAAGCTGGGTAATTTTGGCCTTAATTGCATCGTTTCCGGGGTTCTTCAAGTGCGTGTAGTGCATCCCAATTCCTTGGACTTCACGGACTTGCGTTCCCAGTCTATTGATTCTTTGCTTGAGCTTTTCAGCCTCGGAAGAGGTGAAGCAGCTGTCGCCCGGGAATGTAAGATGCTCCATATTGTCAGGGTGCAACAGTCTCTGCCTGACTACATGATCTTTTGAGATTCAAAATTATGGCGGGGTCAAAAAATATTCGAGGTAAAACCGAGGCGGCTTTTCAGTGGCTTTAACGTGGGGCCGCCAATTAACGCGAGAACCAATGAAACGCCTTCCTGAATCTCCGTGCTGGCACCCAAAAGTTCCATGCTTTGAAAATACTTGGCCTCGTCCTCGTCAATCTTGCCTCGACTTTCTCAGCAACAGTCGGACTTTCAACGCATGAATTTCCGCTCTCACTCTCTTTCTTTGTACATATCACCACCATACATGGACGATTTATAGATTCGAATACCCCATATCCGAATTCCACGTCGCGTTTGCGCAACACCTTCAAGATGGGTATCGTGTCCTTCATTACAGGGCTTATTGCTCCAATTTTCATAATCATATCGCCCATTACTTCATACGCAGACCAGACATATTCAATCCACCGGACAAAATCTAGTGCCGGCTTCTCGATGGATATTCCATTGATTATGCTGGTAGCATCATTACTGAGGTAAGTACGCATCAAAACCAAGATGCAGACAGAGCTGATGGGTCGTCCTGCAGAGTGTTCTATTATCCTGGCGCGAAGTTCGATATTTCCTTACTTATACAGTCATTCATCATGATTGCAATCCAATTAGTCTTGCTGAAGGTAGCATTGGATCATCGACCATCACCGTCATCGAAGGGAGGAGAAGCATCCATGCCGTTTGTAGGAGCAAGAGAAGGCGAACTGGGGGTCTCAAGACCGTACAACTTTTGGCAATGGCGATCGCCGAAGCCGTGAGTATTTCTCAGGATATCAAACCATGTTACCAGCCACTGACGACGGTACATGCAGATACTGGCAGTTTCTCCTCTACCTATTCATTGGCCTCACAGTCTTCGAGCTTCTCCTTTCCCCGATTCCTTCATTATACTCACTATACTCCGCCAGTCTTGGCATCATCGGTCTCTCGATCGAAGCGACCCTCCCGCTCCCGCAGATTCTTGCCAACTACAAGGCGCGATCGTGTAAGGGTTTCCGTTTGTCAGTACTTGCGAGCTGGATAGCGGGTGACATTATGAAAATGTTCTGGTTCTTTACGGCTACCAGTGAGATTCCGTGGACATTCAAGCTCTGCGGAATCTTCCAGATGTGCTGCGATTTGTTTCTTGGTGGCCAGTATTGGGTGTATGGAGACAAGGGAGAACCTGTAATCAAGGAACATGAGATGGGAATGAGGATGAATGGACTTGCACATCCTCATGCACATTCCACCGGAATGAGAACGCCAGTGGGCGAGAAAGATGTGAGACTGGGGTAGATAATTGTTTGTTTGTATAGACCAAAGACTTTGTAACTGAACCCCGCTTTGGCGTAGTGGACGACTCGAGATTTCCACACCTTCGCTCCTCGTTCTGTTTGATCTCGATGACACGATCGGCCGGATTCCAGCGCCTTCTTCCCGTCTGACTGCGATATCCCTCGTAGATTCTGCTTGAAAGGCAACTATCCCGAAGATTCAAGGTCCTTGAGTACCTGTCCTTGCAAAATCAATTGCCACAAAAAGATGTTGGCTCTTCGCGATAGGCTGGCTGGCCCTCCAAATCGGCATCATATATCACATTTCGAAGCCACGGACCGAGAGATCTGTGCGACAGCCCGAAAAAAACAAACAAGCTGCAAATTTCAAGATAAGAGTAATTGATAGGTGCGCGGAGCCAGGCAAGGGAATTTGTGAGAAGAGGGATGTGGAGGTTGGTGTTTTTGGGAGCCTGTCGAGGTTCTCGCGTAATATGCATGTAAGTTTGTGAATTGGTTGTGAATGCCATCGGGACAACCATTATCTACCAAAGAGCTGACAATGACAACAACAGCGCAATTCAAACTTGAAAGTTGTAGAAGTAAGAATATCATAAAGGGAGACAAGTGTAGAAATTCGAATGGGCTCTTCGCGACCAGAATTGATGATTTCTCGCCTGATTTCGCTTCGAAAACATCCCCTTTTTGCTCTTGAACTTGCACAGCCAGAAAACAGAACTTCACCACACCTCCTCTAGAGCTCTTTCCTTCCTCGGGAATTCACTCCCAAGCTAAGTCCCAGCCCTCGCCAACTCGAACTCCCGCCGCCCCGGAAAAATTATTTAAAGCCTGCCTCTCTACTCTGTCCTCGCCTTTCTCTTCTTCCACAACAACTTCGACCCAGCCTCAACTCCAGATCACAACAACAACTTCTTCAACTACCACAGGCTACACCCATCCACACTCAAATAGTAAGTCATACTCAACTCTATCCAAACTCATTCTTTCTTGAATCCTTCTCCCTCTTCTGGAACTTCAACTGAACATTTCTCGTCACAACAGATCGCACTCTTCACAACTCGAATCGATCTTGACCAACGACGTCAAGACTCTTTGAAATAACAACAATCTCATAAGATCCCGCAAGGTAAGCAGTCCATCCTTCCAGATCGTTCTCCATCGTTGTCCTTGCCCTCTTGCTTTCAATTCTTCCCGTTGCGCGGCTTCTCCTCTGCCTTCTTCCTCCAAACCCTTCTCGCCTCTTTTTCATCTTCAAACTTCTCCACCTCTACCCCGCCTCGCCTTCAACTTGATACAACAAACCTCTTCACACAAACACACACCAGCCTCGAGCCATATTCAAGTCATAAACACTTCCTTTGCTTCTTGTCTTCCATCCTCATCCCACATTCCATTCCTTTTCAGATCGACTTCTATCAGCCACCGGTATTACTCGATCTTCCACCTCTCGTGCTTCTATTCACGTTTAGCTCTCACGTCATCATTGCCTTGATACACACATGAAGGACAACCTTGCTAATTGGGCTTGCTTTCCAGAATCAATCAACGGTCGCCACAATGCCCAACTGGAAGACCTATGAATCGTCCGTCCGCCTGCTCTCTGCCATCGTTGCAGCTCATCCTGGATTAAAGCTTAACTATGACGGTATGTAATAAATTTCCTTGAACTCTACGTCCCTTACTATCGCCCTCTACCTGCTTCATTGTATGATCGTCCACTCTTATCCGTCAACTGCTGTTTTACCGCAATTATTACTTCCTGATAATCTTCCTTGTACTAGACATCGGCAAGATCTACGGCGGAGGTACCACGTACAAAGCTGTGTGGGGTCGGATGAAGGTGATCAACGATAATGCCAAAGCCTTACGAGCTGCATTTGATGCAGGCCGCGATACCACCGAGATCGTGATCAGCGAAACTGGTACAAAGATCGAATGCTTTTCTTTTGTGTTTTGCGTCCTGCACACATGTTTTTTATGTTTCCGCAGATCTTCTTATTGATTTTTCCGGCCCAGATATCGCTGCCAGATTTGGTGGAGATTGCACCAAGTCTGCAGTTGAGAACAGATTTCGCCGAGTCAAGTCAGATGCAAAATTGATCAATGATGCTGTCAAGAATGGCGTTGATCCAATCACTATCAACGTTGGAGACACGAGTGGGGAGGCTGCCATGAGTGGCAACGGCTCTTCTGGTCAGACATTGCGCTTGTTTGTCATGCTACACACTACACCTTGTTCTTCTTCTATTCCTTCTCACCAGGCCTTGGTGTTAACATGTTGGTGCAGAGATGGCCAGATGCTTCGGTACCGATGTTACAGTCAATTCACTGAGGAATATCTGGACCCGTCAAGTAGCACCAGCTGCGAAGAGAGTTCTTCACACTTTGGCTGATGGTGGCGATCCGAAGGACTTGCCGGCATGGGGACTTGGGGGTTTCCAGAGCACCAATGGTAATCCAATTTGTTTGCATTTCGGAGTTGCATTTATTGTTCTCGACGTTCAACTACTTCTACATCCTTTGTTGATCTTTTATCACAGACCTCGCCAAGGCTTATGGCAGCGACTGCACTAAGACCGGCTTGGTAGCACATTTTCAGCGCGATATCACCCCCAACGTCAAGGCAATTCGAGACGCTCTCGACCAGAATAAAGACACCAAAAACATCGTTCTGGTTGAGGGTGTCAGAAATGGCAAGCCAGGAAAGGGTCAGAGCAATACTCACGCTTTCTGTCATACACGCTACACGTTTTCATTTTGTTTGCCCTGCTGCTATTTCAATCTGGTCATTGAAGTTCTGGAGTTGATATTTGATTTAGAAGTAGCAGCTTGCTTCGGTAGTAATGTTACCAAGAGCGGCTTGACGCATTGTTTTCACCGAAATATCCAGCCTAATGTCAAGCTCATCCGAGATGCTCGCAAGCAAAGTGTTGACCCCAAGGACATCACTATGGTTGAGAATGTCAGAGACGGTCAGCCAGGCAAGGGTCAGCATGGACATCATCCTCATTTTCTTAGCATATTGCACAGTCCCATTTTGTCAAACACCCCTTCAGACGTTAAGAGTTGTTTATTGATGATGATGGCAGAGATTGTGAAGTTCTATGGCAGTGAATGCACCAGGAGTGCGTTTGAGAACCATTACAAGCGCGATCTGGCTCCCAACATCAAGGCTCTCAAGCAGGCCGTGGGCGATGGACGAGATCCCAAGGACGTAGTCCTAATGGAGAACGTCCGCACTATTGGTTCCGGCAAACGTCAGCTCATTCTTTATATTTGATTATCGAACACATTACACGTTTTCCTTGCGTTCGAATGGCCTCGAGTCAAAAAGCATTGTTAATTATCAACCCAGAGATCGCGCGTTGCTATGGGGCACCTACCAAGGGAAAGGACGTCAGAAACTTCTACGACCGGACCATCAAGCATGATGTCAAGCTGATTCGAGATACACTGGACGCTGGTGGCAATCCTCTTGACGTCGAACTCTGCTATATCTCGAAGAAAGCTGGCAACGGCAGTACTCCCAAGGGTCAGAATGTTTTGGAGCTCTCATTTTGCATAGCACACTTTCCTTTTTCTTTCCATGACCCAAGCTCACATTGATGACGTATTTTACAGAGATCGTCAAGCACTACGGAGGTGACTTTAAGAAGGATGCCATTCGCATGCGCATCCAACGAGATGTCACCCCAGTCGCAAAGGCTATGGTCGCTGCTGTGGCCAACGGAGAGGATCCTCTCGAGGTGGTTCACATCAGCGATCCTAGCAGCAAGGGTCAGGGAATATTGCTCTCTTTTCATTTGCACAGCACCATTTTATTTGTGTTCCGGGACAGCATTGATGACATCCTGTACAGAGACGGCAAAGCATTATGGTGGTGGCTTGAAGGCCAACGCTCTCCGAGAGCGCTTCCGACGAGACATCACTCCTTTTGTTCAGCCCATGGTTGATGCTGTTCAACATGGAAAGGATCCACTCCAGGCTGTTCTGATCAGCGAGGGTGGCAAGGGTCAGATTGGCTTCTCGGATGTTGCACAGCACGTTTTCTTTCTGTCAAATCTCCCAGCGTTTATTGATATTTGTTCCACAGACATTGCACAATGCTTCGGAGGAGGCTTGAAGGGTGGTGCCCTTGCTATGCAATTCCAACGTGGAATCAAGCCCATGCCAAGCTAATCATCGAAGCACTTGAGCGTGGTGAAGATCCGCTTATTGCTGTTCCAATGGGTGGCGACGGCAAGGGTGCTAATGGTTAGAACTTTATCTTCCAGCACAGCACCACTTTTCCTTCTGTTCCATACGAAGCAAGAGCGATATTGATGGTCGTGCAGAGATTCAACAATGTTTCGGCTCCGACACAACTGTTGGCGGTCTTAAATTCCAATTCGCAACTCGCATCAAGGCTGACGTCAAACTCATCAATAATGCGAGAAAGAATGGAATCGACTGCAAGAACATTACCCTAAGTGGAGGTGCTGCGAACAACAATGGTCTAGGGTTCTGCATTTTGTCATCTGCACTTGCTTTTCACGCGCATGCAGCTGCTTATTGACTTTGTCACAGATATCTCGAGCATCATGGGAAGCGATACCACTCCAAATGGGATCCGATTCCAGTTCACAGATCGTTTCAAGCCCATCGGAAAGCTTCAGCTGGAGATGAAGGCCAACGGTCGGGATGCTAAAGATATCGATCTTGACAGTGTCAAGGGCAAACAGAAGGGTCAGATGGCTGCATTATATTGTATTTGTTTCCTTTACAGCACGCTTTCCTTCTGTTAACAAACCCACCCCGAACAAAATATTGATGATATACCCAGAAATGGCCAAGTACTTCGGTACAGACGCCACCGGCGGTGGCATTGGCTTCCAATTCCGTGCTATTCGAGCTGATGCACAGCGTCAGCGTGATTGCTATCACAACAAAGGCGATCCGAAGGATCTTGGCATCGGAGGTGCTGGTGGTGGCAAGGGTCAGAATTCTGATCATCATTCCTGTCTCTTTGACACTGCACGTTTTCCTTCTGTCAAACACCACATATGCGAGCTCAACGTTGATGTTCCTTCTAGACATGGCAAAATTCATCGGCAGCGACTGTACTAAGGGCGCTTTGGAGTGGCAATTCCGTCGCTACAAGGCTGGTGCTAAGTTACAGATCGATGCCGTCAAGAATGGCTAAGACTCGAAAGATATCAACGTGGATGTAAATGTTCAGGGCAAGCCAGACGCCAAAGGCTCTGCTGGTGGAAAGAGCATGTTTTGGATTTCACTATGTCTCCGCATAGCACAGCCAAAGTTTCTCACAGGACTTGGTATTGACGAAGCCGCAGATATCGCTCGCCGAATGGACTATGGCACTACTGCGTATGCTTTGCAGCATCGCTTTAGAGACATCAAGAAGCAGGCACAAGAGATGAATGCTGGTCAGGCTTTGTCTTATCGAGTCCAAGTTTTCCCGAGTTCAGCACAGCCCAGCACGTTTTCTTTCAAATGCACACAACACACATAATTAACTTAGAGGTCGTTATTAACGTTGTACACAGGAATCGCTCGTCACTTCAATGCTGACAGTCCGGATGATACCACCACAGCAAGTGCGGTTGAGCATCAACTCCGACCTTTTAAGGCTAAGGCTAAGGAGATGACTACTGGTACTGCCTGCAATTATCCTCAATCGTGTTCTCCCCCTACTTGTCGAATTTTTGGCCTATCCAATCCGTTATTGCTTATGCCATTCCTTTTTGTCGACCCCGTCATCCGTCTCCTTATGTTCTCCCCGCCATCATCATCATTACAATTTGAACATTTGCTAACTATTTCTACAGCCATCGCTCGTGAATACGGTGATGGTGTCACAGGTAAAGCAGTCTCCACCTACTTTGAGCGCGCACATAAGGATCCAAGCTGGCAACGTACTAACAGTCCTTCAATAGGTGGTGATGGAAATGGCGGTCCCGTTAAGAAGACTCCCGTCAAGCGTGGTTCTCGAGCCAAGAAGGCTGCACCGGCTTTCAACGGCAAGCGCATGGGTTCCTCCGGTGACGATGATGAAGAGGAGGTTTCATTCAATACTCCGTCAAAGAAGACTCCGTTGAACAAGGTCAAGGGTGGCCGTGTTGCCAAGGCTAGCGGTGGTCGTGCTAAGGCCCCTGTCAGCTATGCTGAGCCATCTGACGAGGATGATGATGAGATGGAGATGGTCAAGCAGGAGCGTGATGTTGGTTCCGGTTTCGAGGACATCAACCACAACGCACACAATGGCAACGGCAACGGTACTTCTTCTTTCGAGGATCCTTCTTTCAGCCAAGGCTATGCCGAGGGTGATGAGGCTAAGGACTACTACGATGCCGAGGAGGAGAATTATGAAGTCTAAATGGCTTTCCACTTGCTGGCTGTCGTTTGTAAGTCATCCATCCACTCCCTCCCCAACCACTACCTCAAACTAACATTCTTGCCCACAGCTCCGATTCTTCGATTTAGCGATACCCTCACGTCCTCTGCCCTCAACCCACCGTGTACTCTACCTCCTGCTTTCAACTCGGCGTTCGGTCCCCCCAAAACTTGCACAACAACAGCCCACGAATTCCCTTTCCTTCGAAACTTTTCACACGGCGTCAACAAACAACAAATTTCGACTTTTCAACACACCTTCCGACTCTGTCATCTTCTTCCAGCCACGAGTCCTCGGCCTCTTCCCCGGAACGAAAAACGACACGAGCCCTTCTTGATTCTTTCTTTCTGCTGGCATTAAGTTGCTGACGGACGCCTCTACATCTTGTGGAGGGGAAAACAGAGTCTCTCGAATATGTCTTTCCTAGCTTTACACCCCTAACTCAACAACACATATCACATCATCACGGAGGAAATTTGCGGATCTGGAGGGAACTTAGTGAGAAGCTTCTCTTCTGCTTTCGGCTTTCTCTGGTGGCTTTGTATGTAGCTGCATGGATCTGGGGTTTTGCTTGGCGTGGGTACATTATGGAAAGTGGTGGTGGTTTTTTCTTTGCTTTGCTTTTCAATAATGATGCTTGCTTCGTACTCGATGGATGGTACGGTGGATACTTCGTTTCCTTTGCTAGCTTAGGCAGGGCGAATAGAAGGTGCTTCTCTCAACACATGCTGGATTTATTATGATCGTTCTGTGATGTGACTGATCTTGGAGACATTGATAAGCTATTCTCTGTGAGGACACAAGGTCTGGCAATTCTGAATTCGAAGACGAGGCATAACAACTAAATTGTTCTTGCAGCGCTCGGCAACAAACTGATCAGTCATCGTCCTCAATACAAATACGAATATCTTCCACTTTTGGACGTTTCTACAGCACTCATAAACCAGGAGAACAGAAAAACAAAAGGACTCTTCAAACTGAAAGACACATCTCTCAGCCAACAAGTTCTGCTGACGAGTGTCAACTGCACCAATCCGTGTTCCACAGAGCCATCCATCACCACCAACAGATTTTGCACACCCTTCTCTGGTCTCAATTTAACTGGTAAAACTTTCTCTGGGTCTACGAATCTAACAGAGCGATTTGTCGACGCTTTGAGAACGATAGGGACAATCAAACCTGACGCGGATGCCTCCCTACAAGTCTCAGCACTAGTCTGCATAGCATTCAGGGAGGGCTGACTCCTGTTTCTTTTCAACTACTGCCGTTGGAGCTGGTGTTCGCAATGGTGTCTTGATAGGCTGAAGATGTGTGGCGCCTTCTTCGGGATGATCCGAATCGGAACGTATGCTGGCCAAGGGAACAACAGAAGACGGTTTGCGACTTGCAGCCCGAGGGAGGATAGGGTGGCTTTCCATGTAGTCGTCTTGCGATTGGGCTGTTTCATATTCCATGGCCTTGACTAGCTTGTAGAATACAACTGCAAGAAGAACACCGGCGATAGGTCCTACCCAGTAGATCCAATGGTATGTAGGGAAGTCGCGATTGACGATGCACGGAGCTAAAGCACGAGCAGGGTTGACGGCACCACCGGTCCAGAAGACTCCTGAATGCAGGATCAGCGCGAGCTAGGAGTCTAGGAAGGCGTCCTTACCTATCAATTCAGCAATGAAAAGAGACAAGCCTATGCCTACAGGTGCCAAGTGCGTAGCTTCGTGTTGTTCAGCAGCCAGCATGAAAATCGTGAAAGCTAATTGTGCCGTTAAAAGCATCTCAATGATGACTCCTTGTGCATTGCTTGTTCCACCTCCCAGGCCGACGCCAACATTGAGGCCGCCATTGAAGAGGGCATAGACCATGTAGGATGCAACGATCGTAGCCACGGTCTGTGCGATGCATAGAAGCAGGCAGCGGAACCAGGAGATGGCTCCAATGAGAGCCATTCCGAGAGAGATCTGTCATTGATGGTAATATTAGCAAATGTCCGTCCAGTGGGTGGTTAATGGTATTCATAAGAACGGGAACTCACCGCTGGATTGAACAGCCCACCACTAATGCGGAAGAAGGTCCATGCTGTAACAACCAAGGCGAAGCCAGCAGAGAGGGCGATGTATAAGAGTTGTTGAGGCGACTTCTCCGCCGTTGCAGTTGAGACTCCAGATCCTTGGTCTTTGTTCGAAGAGGCACTGGCGACTTCAACACCAGAGAAGGCGAGGAAGATGAAGAGAAGAGTGCCGATGAATTCACCAATCACAGCCACAGCATGACCACGAGCGCCTGCGGGCAGGATTTCGAATAGGTTCTTGAATAACTGTTTGATCGGGTCTCCTCTGGATAGAAGTGTATCGGCGTGGTTGATGTTCATTGTTGGCGGTCGAACGAGCACTGGGTCGATTCTGGTGTATGTCGACATCGTGAGTGTGAGTAGGCGGACTGTATGGAGTGTACGAAACGTGTGCTGGCGATGTTATTGCGATATTGGTAATAGGTAGCATAAGGGGGTTTGAATCTTAGGGTATGTTTGATAGGTGCATGTTTGATGTATCTGGTGAAGATTGAGATGAGGAGAGAAGCTGTTTTGGAGAGCAAGGTCCGAAACTCGTACCTGCCAAGTAAAGTAGCACTTGCCAACGAGGGCAACTTGCGAGGAAAGAACGTATTAGCAGATACCCGATCTCCAGAACAGGTGACTTGGTCTCGACTCTGAGACTGAGAACCTGGAAGGTAGTTCTAAAGAAAATATCAAGTGATTGAAAAGCAGTCGAGTCAATAAGCGAAACTGACAGTGATGTGCTGGAAGTCCATTCACTCACAACATTTGCGTCTGTTCAGATCCTTCAAGCTTGAACAACCAAAGAATTTTAAGTTGATTCTTGAATGACTCAATCGTTGGGTTTTCATAAGCCCTCATACCCCTATCTTCATAGTTTCTCTTTTCCCCGCTGCCGAAACATCTCCTCTCCCCACAACTTGGCATATTCGACGAACTTCGGATCTCCAGGAGCATGGAGCTGCGAACCAATCATACCAGCAATACCGCTCTCGCGATCAATGTACCAATGCAAATTTGGGTATCCACTCCAAAACAATGTCCCTGCCTTCCAACGTCCTGGAATATCGTTTTTGATCAGCCCCGCACCAAGCCCATAATCGACTTTGGTTCCTGCCGGAAGGTCGCTCATCTGCACATTGACCTCTGGAATAGCGAGCTTTGCCTCGAATGATGAAATTTGAGCAGGGCTGAGTTGTGGTTTGAACATGTCATCCACGGTTCCCTTTTTGAGCACCTTCTCATCGTTACGCAGAAGACTCTGCAACAACTTGAAGTAATCCAATGGAGCACCGAACAGTCCCGATCCTCCAGTACTTTCTGTCATATCCAGACTATAGATATTGTCATCGATATAGATCGTTTTGCCGTTCGGCTCCGCGGGGTTCCCAAACATGGTGATTCCTCCTTCTCGAATACTCATATCTGCCAATTTACTTTTGATCGCTGGGTTCTTGTTGGGGTAGAAAGACATGCTTTTCACCCCAAGTGGTCCCCAGATGTTCTTTTTGAAGTACTCTTCTAGGTTGACTCCGGTCGCTCGTTCGACCATCCAGCCAGCCCAGTCCAGACCGACGCCATACTCCCACTGCTCGCCGGGTTGGAAAAGGAGCGGGAAATGAAAGGCTTCTTTGGGTGGTCTTGTAACGTAAAGTGAGGGCTGGATGCCTTGGGTAGCACGGTATCGCATGAGGACAGGGTCTATGCATTCGTTAACTTTGCTGATCATCCCAGCTTGTGAATTTCTTACTGAAGACATCATAACTAAGTCCGGATGTATGAGTGAGAAGATTTCTGTCTCCATTTCAGTACTTCGTACAACCGATGTCTCCGAAATTGGCATTACCTTAAAGTGACAGTCTTAGTATTCTTCTTCAACACAGGTTTATCCTTCCCATGTGGACCTGTCTCAAAATCAACAAGCACATCCATGTCCTTCAGCTCCGGCAGAATGGTAGAAACATCATCGTCTAGTTTCAAGAGTCCCTTTTCAACGCACTGCATGACAGCAACGGACGTGATGAGTTTTGTACAAGATGCTAACCACATCGTGGCATCCAGTGGCATTGGATCTGGCTTCCCGTCCTTGAGACTTCGGTTCCCAATTGCCTTCTCATAATAGAATTTCCCATCTCGATCTCCAGCAACCATCACCAGGCCCGGGATCTCCAAATCATTACACGCTCTCTCAACTCTTTGCTCAAATGTTTCGGCCGCCATTTCGCCCTTCTCTCAAACGAATGAGGAGACTGTCAGATCTAAAAAGTATGCTCAGTCTCAAAATCCGTCGTAGAATGTGCTTTCACAGAGAAGACCAGTGAACGAATTTGTAATAAAGGACTGAAAGTATGCCCCTCCTACCCCACTAACTAGATACCCGCATGAAGAAGCTGGTGGAGTTATGTATGTCAAGCCAAGATGCCGACGGAAAACTTACCTCGGGACTCAACCCCAGCTTTCCCCGCGCTTGTACAATACCGACCAGTCAGTAATAAGTACGATATATCTTACGACCTCGAGTGGGTGATTGGTGAAGTGAGGTGTTTCTACGACTGCCAGTCTCTTGCGACTTCTCTGTCGGATATTGGATTGGATGAGATACGACTCTGCGATTAAATGTGATAGTCTTCGAAAGTTAATCAGATCCTTTTGAGCGACTTGTTGCAGATACCTGGTTGGTCACACGAGTGCGAACGAACAGAATCGCTGGGTACAACTGAATGGATCCGGTGTTGAGAGCTTCCCTAGAGACTCCTCTACGATTTGCACAAAACGTTGGAGCTGCGACTGACGTTTGATGTATGAGCAGCTGCAAAGTCTCGATCCGACTGAACGAGTCCTGTTAGCTTCTCAAAGAAGGCATAGAACCTCGCACATTTACCACAAAGGGCTACAGTTTGATATAATCGTATACGCTGTTCCTATCTCAGACAACTCCTCTCCCTAGGAGAAAGTATATTACTCTACAATAGTTCCCTAGACCTTCCACGAACGCCGTGCCTATGCTCAATGCGCATGCCGATATCATCATAATACAGGGATATAACCATAATTTTCATCCAAAGAAAAATTCGACGCATTTATCCCATGCCGACATATTTGAACCAGTTTGGTCTGCAATCTTCTTTCATCAACCAAGATTCTCCATCTGTGAATCGTCCTGTCATACATCCTTTACACTTCGGCGAGTTGGGACAGTTGAAGTAGGGAATGTGCTGATATCCGATGTCGCGGAACCTGACGATTTGTTAGTTTTGCAATAGACATAGAAAGGGTTATACTAACCAATGAATCTTGCTCGAGTCCTCGAAGAGTCCCAAAGCTATGCTGTGGACTGGTGCATCTCCCCATCTCTCGTAAAAGAATCCACCCGCTCGGTCCAAATGGTTGAAATAATCCTCATAGGCTTGACTCCGCCAGAAGCTCATATCTGCGATTTCGAAGTTGGACCAGAAATGGCAGGTAGAATAGCCGTTTGCTTTCATGTTGTGCTCAGGTCTCCTGGCGCTGTCCGTCAACCATTGCATGGCATGATTCTCATGTAGATATTCTGGATGTTGGGCCATGAACTTGGTTGTCTCTGGCCACAATGTTGGAATTGATTGCGGAGCATCGTAAAGATTTATTGTGAAGCCATAGGTCTTGTTGAAGTCTTGCATATATCGGAAAACATCGTAGTCGACATCGCAGAAGAAATGGACTTTCGGTTCGACTCGCCAGTAGAACTGAGTATGTTCGAGAGCAGGATGTTTATAGAATAGACCACTGTTCCAACGACACATTTGATGGTAGGATTTCATGCTGCCATACTGAATATCGTTTTCTTTGAGAATTTTCGCAGATTCTTGGAAAATCTCTTCATCGATCCAAGAAGGGACATCCCAATGCTCTTTTGGAATCAATTCTGAAGAGGTATGTTAGTAAGATTCTCGAAAGTGCAACCTTTATCGTCGTACCATAGAAGCATTCCGCCTTGGTTGCTTCTCTCGTCTTCTTCTTAAACTCTTCTGTAAATGGTACATCGTTGAAGAATGTCCAAGGATAATTGAACTTCGAGTTCCAAGTTCGCTCGAGATCATTCATTGCTTGTAGCATTCCTTCCAACTCTTCGTTTCGGACCAAGGAAAGGAGAGTCGCATTTATTCGATTCGTTCCTTCAGCACCGAGTCCATATCCCTTATCAGCTCGCCATAATTCTCCCTCGGGTTCGCCCGTGACTAGAACACACGTTAGTAATTTGCTGTCGAAAAGGAAAAGACGGCGGGTAGCATACGATCTAAATTTGGATCTCTTTCCATGTTGGCAAGAGTGTCCCCAGGCCCTTTGGGAATTTTCGCAGGCCCAAATACCTGATATAAGAAGAATACCCATAGTCCTACAGCCACCAGGCCTAGTACTCGAATTGGCCTTGCTATCGCCATGTTGTGTTGTGTCGTGTGTGGTCTTCAACAAAAATAATGCGCTGCGTATGGGAATTTGAGATCTCCTTAACGGAAGATGCCGAAACGTCCTGAGGCTGCGTCACTCTCACGTGCTAGAAATAGGGGGTTCAAGGCCGATGTTTCTTGGGCTTTGAATGTACCATCTTCTGAAAATGCTTGATCTGATCCAGATAGCCAAATATATCAAATGAAGCAGAAATCAATATTGTGGTTTCGGACAATGTGAAGAAACATTGAACCTCGCTTGGATTTCTAGAGAAAGTCGCGTCTCCCCAATACAAGAACGCGTCAAGTCCACATACTCTCGATATTTCTCAAATGCTATCATGGCACACCTAGCCAAGCTGGGTGCATTAACAGATGAGCTCGTAACATTGATCACGTCAAAGACAGCTTCCGTAAGGATGTTTCATTATGTTTCAACATGCATAGGCGGCTGTTGATGTTATGCCTAGCCGGTCGTTCAGAACATATTTACTGACTACTTATATATAGTCTGACTCTACACAATTCAACATCCACAAGGAGACTGCTCTTCGAGCATTGCGACAAAACAACTATCCTCGAACGAACCAATTCGACGTTAACAGCCGCCTCGATGGCCTTGAGGAGAAGTTTCGAGTCTACCTTGAAGATCCTTTGGCAGATGCGCTAAGGGAGCGATTAAACACCTTGTCAAATTTGGAAGTGAAATGGGCACCCGAGATATTGCATCTGCTGCTGGAGTTGTCAGACAGGCCGCTTCAAAACTCCAAGGTCGAAGATCTTGACTTTTTGAAGGAGCCAGAGCCGGACGCAGACCCACCCTTGCTTTGGAAAGATTTGGCTGCAGACGATCCTCTGCTGCGAGAGAAAAGCGTATGGGCCAATGTTGACTTTGGAGCGGAGGATTCGGATACGGACAGATACGATGACTCTAGGTCGGAGGCGTCTGGTTCGACGGATCTGACAGGACAATCAAGTATTGAAGAAGATCCCAGCAGAAGACCAGAGGACCATGCGGTGCATACGTTATCTAAAGAAGGCCTTGAGACTTTACGATACGAGCAATTCTGGCATAAGACGCCTACTGTTGACGGTGTGAAGTTGGAAACTGTTCGAAGGCCTATCTCGGAACTCCAAGCTATTCGGGAAGTGCTCTTCATGCTTGGCGGCTTGCCGACTTCTATATTCGAGAATACTACTCCAGCGACCATAGAGCCATCGAAAGCATTCATCTTGAAACATGCTTCTCCGGAAGCCTTTATTAAGCTTTCAACGTCGTTTGCCGAGCAGGGTTCTACTATATTGCTACTTCGTTTGTGGACCAGACGTTCTCAGTCAATACCTCTGCTGCAAGCCTTCCAAGGTTCTATGTCTACACGCCTTGCTGAATTCGATGCTCTCCTGGCTTCGATTCAACTACGCTTTGTAGCACCTCCAGAGGATATAATTATTAGCTTACTGGCCATTCAGGAAGAGATCAAATTACTTGCTAGACTCCTTCGTCGTCTCTCAGAGATTGCCAGAAAACTCGATGATGGCCCATATGGGCACGCATTCCGTTATCTTGAAGCTCTCTACGACGAAACGTGCACATCACAGATGGCTGGAGACGATGAGATGTACTCTTTCATGGGCAGTATTTTCTTCGAATGTTTGCAAGTATATCTTCGTCCTATCAGGGCTTGGATGGAAGACGGAGAACTCGACAAAGATGACAAGATCTTTTTCATCATCGAAACTTCTGGGGATGTTGAGCCAGCATTGATTTGGGACTCGAGGTTCAAGATCCGCCAGACGCAAGCAGGCATTCTCCACGCACCTCGGTTTCTTCACGCGGCCGCCAATAAAGTATTCAACACTGGCAAGAGTGTGGTCGTTTTAAAGCATCTCAAGCAGTTCGGCATACTGCAAGGCTCTCGAAGCGATCTCGAACCTAGTCTAGACTTCTACAATGTCTGCAATCCTGCTATCTTACAGCTTGCCCCTTTCTCTGAGCTTTTCGATACTGCATTTGATGCGTGGATCAAGAGCAAGCACCACCAGGCTTCGTCTCTACTTCGCAAGACTCTGTTCAATTCGTGTAGTTTGCACACTGCTCTCGATGCATTGTCACATATCTACTTCATTGCGGACGGGATCACCGGATCCAAGTTTTCAAGTTATGTTTTCGACAAGCTTGATACCTTGAATTCATCGTGGAATGATCGGTTCACGCTTACTGAGCTGTGCCAAAGTACATTTGGCACTTTGCCATCAGTCGCTGCTGATCGAATACGAATGAACGTCCTTCCTCTCCACCGGAAGCATCAAGACGTAGTGAAATGCAGGCAGAGTCTAAAGGCACTAGCCGTTCTGGAGATCAAATATCACCTTGCTTGGCCAATTCAGACGATCATTACCCCAGCAAACATGTCTTCCTACAAGAGAATATTTACGTTTCTGTTGCAGATCCAGCGAAGCACTCATATCCTCTCTCGCCAACGGCTAGTTATGGATACTCTTATGCAGAATAGCGGCACAGACGAACGCGCTCTCTACTACTCCTTGCGAATGCGTTTACTCTGGTTCAACCAAATGCTATACTACTATTTGACTTCTCTTGTTCTGGAACCTTGTACCCAGAAGATGCAAGCGGACCTCAAAGATGCTGGAGATGTTGATGCCATGATTCAGGTGCATTCTGCATATCTGAAGACTACGATCGACCAGGCTCTGCTAGGTAGCAAGCTAGAGCTCATTCATAAGACAATCCTCAAAATACTGGAGCTTGGAATTAAGCTGGAAGATGCCCAGGCCGCTAATGCTACATCCAATAAGGAGACCATGGAGCATCAACAGGAGAGGATGGACCTATCCATGGCTAGCTTGGGCCTTCAGACGCCTCGCAGGAAGACAAAGTCCCAACAGTTTAGTAGGAGTGTACGAAGTAGGCAACATGAATCAAGTTCTGATGAGGAGGAAGAGGACATCAATGTTGATCTCAGCATTTTGTCATCAGCATTTAACGAGGATGACGGGGATACTCTCTTTGTCGAGAAGCTCAGAAAGATGAAGTCTGAGTTTGACAGGTTGATTCACTTTGTAGCAAGTGGACTCAAAGGTGTTGCGAGAGCAGGCACTGGCCAGGAAGGCAAGAGCTGGGACACCTTGGCCGAAATGCTGGAGTCGGGTCTTGGGTCTGGGGTATGATATTTAAGTTGGATTACCCCTGTTATCAGCTGGAATTAAATGTATAAACTCCGTAGACGGGCAACTGGTGTACTTTCATCGTCTCTGAAAAGCGTCACGTGCAGTACGTGGAGTCGTCTCGGCAATCGAGCCGGGGCAAGACAAAAATATATACCAGGTTCTTCTCCATTTCAAATTATTGTGCTATCTTCAAAGTCGTGACGAAGTCTTACAGACAACGCACACAAACATCATTCCGACTCACTAAATACGGCCAACAAATATCTACGCCCTTCGAACTTGCAACTAATCATGACGGGATAGGAAGGAGGCATTAAATCCGATTTGCCGGTTCCCTCGTGCTTTGTAAACATCCCGGGCTATCGCTGGTAAGCTATCTTCTTATCGGAGTTCTCAACACCTTAAGATTGTTTGAGAACTCCGTTTTCTCTCCTTCTTCTTAATAAAACTTTCCATTATTCATCATCTCGTCTTTGATAGACTCGAGCTACTTGCAGAAAAGTTAACCGATTCCACCGAAATGGCGGACTTTGAATACATGAACGCCAGAGAGGCGACTGAAGGCACTGGACCAAAACCTCCATTGGATTTGAGCCACCATTTCTCAAGAGTGACGGTTGCGAGGAAGGAGAGCAGTGTCAAGGGGTTCTACAAGTATTTCCAGATCCCTGGCATTGGGAATCTAGCTGGTGGTATGTTCAGTTCTAATCACTAATCACCCTTGTTAAGAGTGGGATGCCTGGTAACTGTTTCAATCAACAAGAACGTTGAGCTAATAGAGATATATAGGTCTGCCAAACGCTGGTTTATTTCCATTTGATACACTCGAAGCTCAAATCGCACAGCCCGAACGATGGAAACCGACCCCAAATCTCCCCAACGACCCAAGCAAGGACCTGTCAGAACAGCTCGAGCAGACCAAGCTCCAGAAGGGCAGAGATGTTGCTGCAGGAATACATATGACGGTGCCGCATACTTCTGCGGTCACTGATCTGATGAAAAAGATTGATTTGACCACTGCGCTCCAATATGGGACAGCTCAAGGCTATCCTCCTCTTCATTCCTACTTGCGACAATTCGCACGCGATGTTCTGCATCCAAATATACCATATAAGGACGGCGCAGATATTATCCTCACATGTGGTAGCACAGATGGGCTTTCGAAATCCCTTGAAGCGTTGAGCAATGTCTGGAGTGAGGAAAGAGATTGGATCAGAGAGAGACCTGGAATGCTTGTGGAGGAGTTTGCATATATGAACGCAGTCCAAGGTGCACGCCCAAGAGGAATCCAAGTTGTGCCCGTGAAGATCGATTTGGAGGGAATGCTTGCAACAGGCCCCGGAGGCTTGGAGGATGTTCTGGAGAATTGGGATGAATCAAAGGGGAAGAGACCACATTTGATGTACACTGTGACGTGAGTACCCTCCACCTCTTTGCTAAGCCAAAGGCGTTGCTGAGACAGAATAGAATTGGACAAAATCCCACTAGCGGAACACTTTCAATTGGAAGACGAAAGGAAATTTATGCTCTCTGCAGCAAGTACGACGTTATAATCATTGAGGATGATCCGTATTGGTATCTCCAATTCCCTTCAGCAGCTGGAAACGAAGCAATGGCTCGAAACCAACCACCACCCGTTGCCCAACCGGTTCACACTTTCGCCAAAAAGTCAGGCTACGATTTCATTGATAGCCTTGTACCATCATACTTGAACGTTGACTACGATGGCCGAGTTATCCGTCTGGACACCTTTTCCAAGACTGTCGCTCCTGGTTGTCGTCTTGGTTGGATTACAGCACAACCTGCAATCGTTGAACGTATTCTTCGCATTACAGAGACATCTACCCAACAACCATCAGGATTCGTGCAATCCATGATCTCAGAATTGGTTATGGGACCACAGCCCGTAATGGCCGAGTTTGCAAAGAAGTCAAAGACCGAGCAATTGTCGTTCTCTGGCTGGAAGACCGATGGCTGGGTCCGTTGGCTGGCTGGTCTTCGCGGCACTTATGAGCGTCGCATGAACAGAATGTGCAGCCATCTCGAAGAGGGTCGATTCTTGGTCAAACAAGGCACTCCCATCAAAGCCTCTGACTCCGATTGGGCCGTCATCTCCAAGACTAAGATGTACTCCTTCGATTGGCCTCGCGGAGGAATGTTTATCTGGGTACAGATGCACTTCGATTCTCACCCCTTGGCAGGCGAAGTCGCAGGTTCTAAATTGGCGTCTGCTCTATGGATCTTCTTGACCACGAAGCCATGGCTAGTCCTCGCTTCACCAGGTGCAATCTTCAGTCCTACGCCAGAGATTATGGAGAAGGAGGGATGGAAGTATTTCAGATTGTGTTTCGCAGCTGTGTCGGAGGAAGAAGTGGAGAAGAGCAGCAAGAGATTCGCGGAGGGCATTAAGGCATTCTGGATGATTAGGGACAAGAAAGAGATTGATGATCTGTTGGACGAGCAGAGGGTAGAGAGTGCGGAGAAGGGTGAGCTGCTGGATTTGGGGATGGGATTTGCTTGTTAAATTGAGCTTGGTGGGGTGGGCGGGGATACAAGTAGGCGTTTTGTTTCACATTTAGATTGATCATGAGCTAATGAATAAACGATGACTTACCTGCTTGTATCATGTTATTTAAGATCGGGAAACTGGTATGCAAAGCTATCCGAAGCTACGATGTATAAAACAGATTTATATCTTTGCCGTCAAATTATGGATATTATGATTAGTGGGAACTGATATATAGAGCGTGTGCCCAACAGAAGAGGCAGAAAGCAGTCGTACACCAAGGGTCCGTCCCACGCCAAAGCCAACCAGTTGAGCTTCTTAGGCAAACTGATACCTCCCCACCCGATTCGAAATAGCCTGCGTGAACCACCTTTTCAAAATCAGCTCAACATCCTCTATTAGAACCTACCCCAACCACAAACAAGAAAGAAGAAAGGACAACTCACACAGCCTTCCCCGGCCCATAATTCATCCCAATATCAAAATAAAATGGCAAACTGATCGGCTCCGCCAAAACCGTCGTCGGCTCCACAATCTTCGACACCTGTCCACTCGTTATATTTAGAATATTTATATAATTTTGCGTAGCAGTAGAATAATCTATTCTCCTCATTAACTTCTTTCCTCTCCTCCTTTTCCTTGTCATCTAAGAAAGAGCAAACGTACAGATAATATCATCAAACCGCAAATCCTTCGTATTCTCCCCGGGAATCGAAACAGCGGCACCGATGCCCGTCCCGGGGTAGACGTCGAAGGTACCGGTGTCGGTGTGCAGGCACCCGTTGGAGCCGCCGAGGATAGCGGTGAAGCAGATGCGGGAGGGTTTGGTGAATGTTGCGCGGACGACACCGGGGCCAGAGAGGGTCGGGAGGGGAACGGAGTATTCGGTTACGGAGCCGGTGGTGGGGCTGAGGCGGCCTATCTGAAGTTTGTTAGGGGTTCGTTGTTTGTAGAAAAGGAGGGTGGAGAGATGGATACTTTCTGGCCGAGGAGCTCGGCGAACCATAAGTAGCCTTCAAAGAATACCATTCCGAGAGGAGCGGAGAGAGGTGTTGGGACGGGGTAGTTTGTGAATTGCTCGGTTGTGTAGTCGAAGTGGGTGATGAGGTTTGCGGTCGATTGGCTAAAGAACATTCCTGTTGGACCGGCTGTGAGGTCGTTGAAGGGTTGGAGGTCGCCTAGAGGGTCGAATGGTTGTGGTGCTGTTACCGTTAGGTCATGGCCTTTTGTTAGAAAACAAGACTGAAAGCCGGGAGGATATACTGAACACATCGATCTTGCGGGTAGTGGGATTGATTCGTATGAATTGGTTTCGAATCCCGCTTCCGGCGTATAGATTGCCATCTTCACCTGGTCGGATGGCACATGCCAAAGCAGTGACTCCACTCGTTAGACTGTAACCAGGCAGTGAGGAGAATGGGAGAGCAGGGAGTGTATATGGAATTGGATATTCTGGTCATTGTCAGCTAGTCTGTCGTCAGCAGAAGCAGCTGGAATTCTTGCCTTCAATAGCGCCTGTGTTAGGATCAATCCGTGCAATGGTGTTGGCAAGAATATTCGAGACCCAAAGAGCTCCATCTGAGCCCTCAGCGCTATCACAAGGGCCGGAGAGAGGAGTAGGAAGGTCATAGAATGTGAAGCTGGATGGAGCTGGGGCAGCATTGGCGATATGACTCGGAGTTACAAGGAGCCATACGGCTGCAATCGTGTTGAACAACATTATGAGATCACGTCTAGATGAGCAGCAGCGAGAATGTTTGGTCTTTGTGCATGCATGTATTGATATATAGATAATCGCTGTTCGTCACTGAACTGTATGTACGACATCATCGTGAACAATGTAACACGATGTCATGACTCTCATTGACGGACAGACATGGGTTCGATTTACTTACCACATCGGTCTGAAAATAATGTATCATTGCCAATGTCTAGTTTGGGGATTCTCAAAGATATTCCCAAGCACAGTTAGATGATCTACTCCCAATTAAGGATCAGACGTCAAGTCTCAATTCGGTTTTCGACCATCTCCGCAAGCTAAATTTAGGCTTAAATTCTTATGCCCGACAGCTTAGATTTGGGTTCTGTTAGCAGGATAGTATGCAGGAACTACCTAGGTGTTGCACTGTGGCTTGAGAACTATGAGAACTAGAGCGCGGAACCAAAGACCGTCAAAGGGATGCCATGCATTCCGGTCTGCAATGTAGGACACGGAAAAGGTCTTCCGAACTGTATATCACAACAGGAGAACAGTATACAAACAAGCGAAACAAATCAAGACACACAATTTGAGGCTTTGGACAAGCAATTTCCTCAGCATTGGCTGGTGACTTGCTTGGGAAGCTTGAAGAAATGCAGATTTTGCCTGTAAACGTTCAGGACATGGTCATGGCACCTTGACTCACATAGACGCGAGGATACCCCTCAGTCGGCTACAACACATCTACACTTGTTATCTGGATGCAAGTAGCTGCCTTTGGGACTGTAAACATCCAGTTCCGAGTTTTGATGTTGAGTGAAGTTGCACCGCACTGAAAGCATCCGAGAATCAACCGAAGAAGTGCGTCAGAAAAACAAAAACTTGGTGGGGTCGTTGAACATCGCCGTCCTCCCCGATAGCAAACTTCAACTTGGTGGATTGTGATCTTTGTGATTCACAATTACCCCCAGAATCTGCGAATGCAATACCCTCTATTCACAATGGAGAAGATCACCGACAAGATCGCCGCCCTGCCTCCGGGCTCCAATTACTTCTCTCTCGAATTCTTCCCTCCCAAGACCTCAATGGGAAGCGCCAATCTGCGCGCGCGACTTGATCGCATGTCCCGAGCGCTGCGACCATTGTTCGTGACTGTAACTTGGGGAGCTGGAGGAAGTACGGCAGAAAAGAGCTTGGAGCTGGCAGAGCTGTGCCAGAGAGAATTGGGGCTGACGACATGTTTGCACTTGACATGCACGAATATGAGCAAGAAGTTGGTAGACAAGGCGTTGCAGGATGCGAAAGCACTTGGCGTACGGAATATATTGGCATTGAGAGGAGATCCACCAAGGAGCGAGGAATACAAAGAGAGGATAAATGTGAACGGGAACGGAATTGAGGGCATGGAAGAGGAGGACGAGTTCGAGTGGGCAATTGACTTGGTGAAGTACATCAGGAAGATGTATGGAGACTATTTCTGCATAGGTGTCGCAGCCTACCCAGAAGGACATGCAGACGAAGGTCATCCAGAGGGCCAAAGTCTGGAACACGATCTACCTTATTTGGTGGGGAAGACACAAGCTGGTGCGGACTTTATCATGACACAATTATTCTTCGATGTGGAGGCTTACGACAAATTCGAAAAGCGATTGAGGGAGCATGAGAGCGGAGCTTTCAAGACAATACCTATCATACCTGGGATGATGCCAATTCAGAGCTACCAGATGATCAAGCGGACGACAAAACTAAGCCATGCGAGGTTACCTCCCAATATCATATCGAGGTTGGACGAGGTGAAGGGAGATGATGAGATGGTGAAGAAAGTTGGAGTAGACATTGTGAGCGAAATCGTCACACATATCCAGCAAGAAGCAGCCCCTGGACCTCGAGGATTTCATTTCTACACTCTCAATCTCGAGAAAGCAGTTTCTTTCATTTTAGAGAGGACGAATCTGATCCCGACTGAAGACCTGGAAGACGAATCCGCAGTCCTGGAAATTTCTGTACCACTGCAGTCACTGAGTGTCAATGGCGCACATAGCAACCATGCCTCTCGGCGGCAGAGCAGTATTGGCTCAGATCCACACAATCGGGTAATAGTCACAGGCCCAACTTCAAACAGTGATTGGGAAGCCACAGCACTAGATGCTGCTATGCCAGCAGATCCTATCAACACCCGTGCAAACACACTTGCCATCTCAGAAGGCGAAGGCGCTTTAGGACGTGAAGCTACTTGGGATGATTTCCCCAACGGCAGATGGGGCGACGCTCGAAGTCCTGCGTACGGTGAAATTGACGGCTATGGTGTCAGCTTGCATATGAGCGTGAACCAAGCTATCAAGCTGTGGGGTTTCCCTAAGTCCGTAGGAGATATCACCGAACTATTCATCAAGCATATCGAGGGATCGCTCTCGGCGATTCCTTGGAGTGAGGAAGGTCTGAACGAAGAGACAAATACCATCAAGTCTCAGCTATTGCAACTCAACCAAAAAGGATGGTGGTCAGTGGCTTCCCAACCCGCCGTCAATGGTGTTAGGAGTACAGATCCAGTATTCGGATGGGGTCCGAGGAACGGTTTCGTCTTCCAGAAGGCATTCATTGAGCTTTTCCTACCCTCCAAAGATTGGACTCCTCTAAAAGAGAAGCTTATGAGCGAAGAGATTAAGGAGAATGTATCCTGGTACGCGGCGAATGCTAGTAGCCAATTCTTCTCATCCGACTCTCTTATGGTTAATGGTGTTGGCACAAGAGGAGATGAAGGAGGAAGCACAAACGCGGTGACTTGGGGAGCATTTCCAGGCAAAGAGATCATCACGCCCACCATTATCGAGGAAGTGAGCTTCAGAGCTTGGGCTGAAGAAGCCTTTGGAATCTGGGAGGAGTGGGGACGTGTCTACGAGAGGGAAAGTGAAAGCAAGAAGCTTATTGAAGGCGTCAGAGAGGATTATTGGCTGGTGAATGTTATTCATCACGGCTATGTGGAGGGTGAGGGGCTCTGGGATCTGTTACTGAAGTGATGAACCTTCAAAATAAGGATTGGTGAAAGCATAGGAAGCGGACAAAGGCAATCTTTAATAGTGTATAAGCCAAAGCATTTGGGGTGCATTTGCAGGAGTCATGATGGTCTGAGCATGAATCTTGTTGACAGTAAATGGAGTTGATGGGGGAGCAAGCAGTCAAGGCTGCAACTTGTATCAAGTATGGAAATTCAACATTTCGAACATCTCTAATGCCCTCGCTAATTATGAGCATTCTGCAGGTGAGATAAATGCATGATGAATATTAGGAGCTGAAACTAGAAAAGCTCTAAACACTGTCCTTTGAAACAACGCCTTTGCCTTGAGATTAAGGAAAAGAGCATTCAACTTCCCTTAGAAGGATTGTAGGTCCGGAACTTGCCTAGCGACGCCCCTGAGGCATCACTTGGACTCGCTTCGCGCATCGAAGAGTAACACTCCCCAAAAAGAGTGGTAGTGTCGATGTATTCACATGAGCTACATGTGAGTTGAGTAATAACGCACATTCAAGAGAGGCTGACTGTATCATTGGTAAATATGACATCTATAAATATATTTCTGGAGTGCTGGCCAGTTTTCTTCTCAGACTGAACAACAGATTTTGAGCCAGCAGCTGGTCTATTCCAACACCATAGTGTCCTACACCACAAACAATAGCAACCACCGCCAAGCCTCGCTAATCAACAACATGACTTTCTTTGAGGAAAATAGAGCGCTGCTTGACAAGAGGATACAGGAGACAAATGCCTGTCTGGACAGATTATGTTCCGATTCAGATATCTGTGATCCCAAGTCAAAATTTGACTCTATCTACCGGTAATTTAAAGAAACTAGTCTCAAATGGAAACATGAGAAACAAAGGATTAACAAAGTGGACCCCCAAAAAACATGAAAGCTAGGAGTGGTGTTTCCTTGAGATGAAGGGTCATGACATGGATCATAGGAATAGTGTACATGTCCTGGTACTTTACCAAGACCCAATTTGGGAGACGTGGCTTTGAAGACTAAGGACCTCGGAAGTGAGATAATGGTATTGGTTTCCTAATACCAAAAAAGCACACACATTTTCCTCCTTTGCTCGATCTGTTCTAAGTTCCCGGCAGGAGCACCTGATGCCCTGTTATCGCCTCAAGTCCCTGGTAGGTAGGCATATCCTGCATGACAAGGCTTAGCCATTATACTTAGAGTCGCACGAATGATCGAGCATTCCGAAGCTATTTCTAGATACATGGGAATCGTTTTGGGTCCCTATCAGTCGAGTAAGCTCTCCTTGTAATTTTAACATAGAACAACATTGGCAGATGTTGAATGGAAAGATCGAACCACTTATTAGAAAACACATAATCTTTGTGACATCGCCGCTTGGTGGCGTTTAGCTCACATCTATGAGTTTAAATCCAATCCTCGAGGTCCCCTTCCAAGGGCATGAATCTGATACCAAGACTAGGATCGTTGCTCCGAAGGAAAGAGAGAAGAATAGTTGAGACTCATTCCACTCATCCCGGACGCAAGGATTTCCGTATATGTGCTACCGTACGCGCTTCTGATCGAGCTACCAGCCTTTGAGGTACCGCGTGAGGTACTAGCAACACCACGGCATGCAATCTCTTCTATATGAAGATTATGTTTACATCCAACTGGAGTAGTACCTAGCAAGCGCAAGTCCTCTGTGTTCCATCCCCCCAGTACTTTGTTGACTTCAGTCATCTGCAGCCTTGTAGACTTTGAAAGGTTCGGATGATAAGCAGCATCCGCAAGCTTCACCCACTGTTTTTGGCACTTTTGAATCATGATCAACTCGTCACTTCCAGCTGCCGACCGCCATATAGGAAATTGTTTAATTATCCAAAAGGCGTTGGAAAAACTCTCAGCAGCTTCAGACGAATATTTGTTTCTACAATATATGTCGAAGAGCTATAGGTGGAGTGAAAACCACATCGCAGGCCGCCCGTATTGTTTATAGCTGTGATAATCAAGGCTGAGGGACACTAAGTCGTTGTTGATAACTTCCATCAATTCACGCCCGAATGTCCACCAGGCTCTTGAGAAGCAGTGCAATGATAAGACCACGATGAGGTATAGGAGCCGATCAACAACGTACTCTCGGGCTCCGAAGTCGCTCCCATAGGTTGGTCCACCATGCGAGGGGCTGCAGAAATATCCTTCGATTCTGACATCGGGGAAAATGTCTTTAATGTATTGGTTGAGACAAGATTCTTGAAATATCTTTTCTACAGAAAGGCAACATTGGCGAATCTTTCCAAGAGAGTTATCCCATTGTGATGCGAAAAGATCCACCAGAGACATTACAAGTTGACGGTGTGTCTCTTCCAACTTTCTGTGGGAAAGCTCTATAGCAAGCTCGAGCCGGCATCTCCATCTGAGAATGTTCGATCCGGATCCGGATCGTGGAAAGGAATGCACAAAGCGTTGACACACAGCTTGCGAGGCAAGAGGCCAAGAGTTCATTGACTGTCGCAAAAATCCGTCCCAAAACGGCTTCAGACGCTCTTTAATGACAATATCCAACAGCCATGGCGAGAAATTGTCGGAAAGCTCGTTGGACATTGTTACGCTATCGTCTAGAAGCTTTATATCACTAGCAGAAAGTCCGGAGTAAACGATCGTCATTGAGAATTCTTCTTGGAAAATGGTGTACAACTGCTGTTCCTCGGCGGAGCCGACTTCAGCACCGCACAGAAGCGAAGAGAGCTCCTTCAAGCATTCCATCCACATCACATCATCCATATCCAGGTACGCAGGGAAGAAAGAGTTGAATAAAGCTCTGATGTAAAGACGAGCGGTTTCGCTTGGATTCTTAGAAGACTTGCACTGGCGAGCTCGGTCCATCAGTGATAGATGAGACCGATCATCTGGAGTCTCTTCAGCCACGTCAAGATTTTCTAGTCCTTGGCGCCAATCATTAGCTTCGTAGTGTGACCTTGTGGCTTCGATGGAATGGGAGTTATCGGGATGAGCATGAAGAAGATCGGGATATTCACGTGAATGGATAGAAGGGCCGACAACCGTTACAGTAGATCCAGAATCTACACTGGATGTATAGTCCAAGTATCCATCGTGAGTCCAAGATTCGGAAACCTCATCGTTGCCATCTTCAGGGGAGTCCGGGTCGAGTTCAGTAATGCTGGGAGTCTGATATGATATATTCGCCGGAGTTCCTATAATGGTAAGCAAAGTCCCTTTCTCCAACAGACATTGTAATTAGTCACTTATCTGCTTCGTGTATTCCAGAGTCCATGGTATCATTTGTTCTCCGTTTCTTGAATAATCGAGTCTCTGCAAAGGTACTTGAAATCCATTACGCATAAACTTGGTCTCCTTCCCTTCTTCTCGCTTGCGTTTCTCGGCTTTTTCGACCATGAAACCCATCTCTTTGGATGGTATATTCTTCTCAAAGTTCCATTCTTTGAGTCTCATTTTCCATTTCCGGACACTGAATATATTTGTTATTGTGGTTACAAGGTCAACAGGTGTGTTAGTCGCTATACCTTGCTTTGAAGTGATGGGTTGACTCTATGGCTTGCATTGTCTCTTGTAGAGTTTTATCTTCATCAAGATATATGTGCCGTATCTCATCTTTGTGCGCATCCCATTTCTGGTTGTTCCGCTCCAAAGTCGACAGTCTAGAAGGCTGAGCTGAATCTTGTGCTGCCAAGGCTTCGATAGACTTCCAGGTGTCGTCCATAGCTGGTAGCGATGTTGCTGATGCGTGCTCCATCATTGAGACCGAACAGTTTATTTCAAGGCAGAATGATTGAATGATAATGCAGGGCTTCGTCTAAGGGAGCGAGAAAACACAGCTTTATATGAGGTAACAAGCGCAAGGCTGTCCTCTCTCTCAAGGAAATCCGATAACAATGTAGGGAGTGCTAAGCGAACCACTTACAACTTTCTTACAAAAGTGCAAAAACTTCTCCTCGTGCACGGTTGCGCTACCAGGTGTTAGTTCAAATCGAAGAGCCAAAGGGAGTCAAGAGCAAAGTGCAAATCTTGTAGTGTAACCGCATGCATGCAGGCCGATGAGCAGGACCAATTTGGATGTGACTCTACCTTCAGACCTCTTCTAACATAGGAGTATGCAAACAGACACGGTTGGTAGCTCCTGGTATCGAAGTCTGCACAATTCAATGCAGTTCCTGATTACCCGACATCATTCTTCATTCGCAAACCAATTCTCAGATGGTTCCACGAATGTGATTCCAGGGCAAGACACTGGACAGTCTTTGCTAGCTTATAACGCTTTCACGAGACATTCTCATGTGAAGTTCTGGATGATGAATTTAGAGCAACTACATTTTCTGCTTGGTTTCGGGAGGCACCAATGCGTTTATCAACAGTCACGTGACTATGTATATTATCAAAAACAAATCTCGAAGATGTTCAACCTAATTTCCTTGTTTTCGTTATTTAAATTTAGGCACCTATATTAATGGATTGTTGCTGATGGAGCTACCTAGGCATCTACAAATAGTTTTCAAAACATGAAAATCACGTGGCGAGCCTCATCCCTCGTGCATGAACGCTGCAAGCCGCCAGAAAGCATTCATGAAATTTTGCTCAAGGATTTGATTTTAGTCGGAACATCCAGAGTAGAAAGTGTTCATGATTGTCACAATGCAAGCTGTCATGAATGCTGGTCCACGAGGCTCGTCGAATGACTTCGGCTATTGATTGTTTTGTGAAATTTTGCACTTATTCAGAGAATCTTATTGTTTGTTACTTATATAAAAAATAGTAGTAAACCTAAAATAGATTATATATCCAAGTAAAACTAAATTAGAAACTTTATAGAACCTGTTTGGGATTTCAGTCGTTTTATAGGCAAATATTACCCTAAAAATAAATAGATCTGAAAATGTGATAATAAGGCAGAGCCTAGCCGAACTGTACTCACTTCACCTGTGGTTGAGAGGAGCCGAGCCGTAGCGAGAGCAGCAATGTGACTAATTGAAAATAGATGTGGGAATTTCTCAGATTGGAACAGACTGCCAAACGAGTACTTTCAAATATCCAATGGGTTAAGAGGAACTTCAGGCAGGTATTATGGACAGGCGTGCTTATATCTAAGAGCGATAATCGGCCCTGGAACGAATATAGTCCCTTTGATTAAAATTGATGAGCATGCTGGTACATTGGACATGAAACCCCAATACGTACAGTAGGCATTTGCTGGGACTGACTTTAACAATAGGAAAGAGTAATTTCTGTCAAATCTTGTTTGACCACTTACTTTTAGAGGAAGATGAATCAGCTATACCAACCAAGTGATATTATCTAGTGACACAGACAAACTCTAAGATATATGTGGATGCAAGCAGCTTATTTTCTGAGATAAGATAAGAGCTTCTCTTTCACAAAAGAGACTTGAAAAGGAGGAACATTGGAAATGCGCACTTGTGCTTGGAAAGAGGAATTCGGTGAATAGGTACACTAGGCTCTGGATTAGGTATAGCTGGTTTGAAATCGGAAGGGATCTATATATTGAATTTGTTTCTGCCATTTTTTGTAACTTTACTCCTCTAGAAAACACTTCGCAACTTCGCAGTTTCGCAACCACACAACATTCAAGACTATCAAAAAATATTTTCTCCACGGAGCCTATACTACAGATAATCAAACTGCAACTGATCCACACAATGGCTCTTCAACCAAGCGAAGAATTGACCGCAAACGCCCCCGCTCTGGCCGACAGCCAGAATCCTGAAGACGGAATTGATGAGGTTAATCGCAATGGCGGCGGAAGCATGACTCCGCCCTGTAAGCTTAATAGACAGCTCTAAGACTACTAAAGCTTACCGTACAATAGTGAAAGCCTAACGTTCGGACGCACATATCCTGAATATGCCTTTCGAAGTCTTCCTCTTACTTGCCAAAGAGTTGGGCCCTGGCTCCGCCACTTGCCTGGGCTTGACTTGTCGCAAGCTATACGATTATCTCAAGGGATATCACCCGAACCCAATAGACCTGACTTACAATGTTGAATGTCTATATCAGATGGAGTTTTCTGATGATGGTTGGGGGGATACAAAGAAAAAATGGCGGTGTTGGGCTAACAAATGGTCGGCGAATTGTAACTTTTTTCTTAATCATAAGAATCACGCGCTGGGTTACAATCTACAAAAATGGGTGGGACGCAAATACTGGTTCGTGGGTTCCGGTACGGGCTATCCCGGGTTGTCTCGTGTTGTCCTGAAGTCGGTCTACGGTGTTAAGCCGGGGATGGGAACCTGTAGCCAGAGCGACAACTTTGATGCTCTGGTTGGACGTTACGAGGATTGGTATAGAATTTCCTGGCGTGAGAGTCCCCACAACCACCGGTCTGTAATTGGACAGAAGCCGCTTAAATCCCCACACAATTTGGGCGGAGATTGGTATGACATGGCGTTGGAATATATCGAAAACGACTTGCGACATACGAACAAATTGTCGGACTCTATATCGTTCTGGCAGGGATTCAACATCTACAAGAGAAAGCGGGAGGATATGGACAAGATTGTTGACGACATCTTTGTTGGTGTGATTGCTGATGGCATTCAACTTCTGGGATTATGAATGGGTACTTTTGCGTCCTTGGTAATCTCTCTTGCATTCATACAATTTGGAGTGCTCCAGCCTGTAGCAAGCAGATTCAACATGCTGCGGATCAAAGTACGTCAAAATAGAGTCTGCCTTACTTTCGCGAGAAGACAGATCTAGAGGTTCCCAAAGAATTCAAATAAGACCTTTATAAAAGAACATCTACCTTAGCGGAGCAACTTGGTTTTAGATTACAGTGTAGCTGAACTTTGCAGTATACCGTATTGATTTCTTCTAAGATATGATTCCGTAATAAGGGCCCACCCAGCTCTATAAGAGATAGTCCCTCAAAGTCCCTCCTAAGCGCGACCCCTGAATAAGATATGCTAGCCTCCCCCAACCCCTATTCTCCCCCCTAGCTCTAGGTCCTGCTGCTCTACCCTTCCCCCCAGTTTTACCATCCATTCGTACGTGGCAGTGTATCCACCATAAAAAGAATTGAATTTTTCTTGACTGTTGAGCTTTACCCTTGTTGTCTGAGATTATATTGGTAATCCCAAACGACAATTCTACGTTTTCACTTTTGATGCAGTCAGTTAGCATCGCCGCTCTACTCAGGCGCTACTCACCCTCGCCTCACCCTATTTAAGTTACTTAGTCAAGTGTCTGATTTCGCTTTTGTCAACTAATCATGATTTGGTTTCACTCTTTCTCTCTTCAGTCTTCACTATCACCATAACTTCTTACTCCGCACGCGTTTCTCTAACCTCTGGACTCTCCTCTCCTAACGCAATTCTACAACCTCGTCTCATTTGTAAATCTCAGCAGACAGAGCCCCGGAGTGGTTCTATGGGTCTCACTTGCTACGTTTCGGGATACGTGGAATGATGTGGTGGGAAAGTTGATGGTGAGGAAGTTTGGGGTTCCGATTGGGTATTTTAGGAACTTTTGGATAGTGACCAGATGGATCACATTGAGTTAGAGGGGCTTTGATGGATGGGTTATTGTGGGTCTTTGCATAAGAAAATGCACGTGGGATAAGTATTTAATAAATGCAATGTAGTCTCGATATTAATATATTTGTATAAGGATAAAAGAGCTTAGGACTTGGATGTGCTGTAAGAGAGTGAACCTAATCCAAAGTAACGACTGTGGATGATATATACCACCGCCTACCTCCCGCCTCCTTCTCCCCGCCTCGCCACGCCCCCGCCTTCACAAAAATATGATTTTTCATCCCTCAAGCACGAAACTTCATTTACCTTTCTGTAGCTTTTCCCAACTCCATTGTCAGTCAGTACACGCCTGGAAGCAACTTCCAAGGAACTCTTGCAACGTATTTCTCCCACTGCTGCCCATACTTCACAGCGCATCTTTGCTCATCCCTGTGGCATCGATGCAGTAACAAGATCGTCATGAAGATGGCATAAAACCAAGGTAGAATGTGCTTCAACCCACAGGTCGCACACATACTATACGAAAGGATGAGGTCCCCAAGATAGTTCGCATGGCGCGAGAGCCCCCACCAACCTACCACTTTTGTCAGTCACTGTTTCCCCATCGAGATCGTAAGGGTAAACGTTTGAAAAAGAGTAGGAAAAGACTTACCGCTACATAACAACAGACTCTTGTGTTTCCCACCATCTTGCGTCACATAATCAAAAACCAAGACCTCAGCTTTTTTCCCCCAAATAAGACATTCCCCATTAGTTCTCCTCACCACATCTTTCTGCCAATTCACGCTTCTGAAAATAATGTAACCTGCCACACCAACACCAAGAATTGCAGCAGCGACAGGCCAAGAAAGGTCCATCGGATACCGAGCCAAGTATTGTGTTTGTAGAGTGTACATAGATGGCAACCACACCAGAGAGCCCCATGCTAAATAATAACCAAAGTGATCGTGGGCAATGTCGAGAGTGCGAAGATACCAATCCTCGTTAACGAAGAAATCGATCACATAAATGGCGTGTAGTATTGTGGCGATCACGATCGAATTGCTGACGTACCCGTGGGTTTGATATTGCCAAGCGATGAAGCTGAGGTCGATGAGCGTCCATGCGACGATTCCAGGACGACCATTGGTGAAGAGTTTGAAGTCCCAGGTACTGCCGAAACGCGGGTTGAATTCGATGCCCATGTAAAAGTCGTAAGCATGAGAGCTACTTAACTTCAGGTCCGACCTGTGGGTTGGGAAGAAGTGGGCTTTGAAATAGGCGAAGAATGAGAGGAGAAAGCCCATGATGTTGGCGGAAAGGAGGAGACCGGACCAATGTTTTGCTATGATAGCTGGATCAAGGACATCAAGGATGCAGAGAGAGACGAAGAGCACATTGGTTATGAGCCAAGCGGAAAATCCATTTGTGTAACTAGGAACCCTTTTAGAGTCATCGCCTAACGGCAACTGGGAATTTGAGTAGGAAGAGGGCTCAACTTACTACTGAAGTTGATATCCAGCTGGTGTTAATTGACCTGTACCTAAAGGGCCTGGAAGGTAGGTGTAAAGCCCTGCTTGAAAGAGAAACCATGCGACATATGCTACAAAATCCGGTAGGTGGAATTGTGGACTGTACAAGGCTACCCACGCAAGTTTGTCGTTGGATAGAAAGCTTAAGCCTGTGTGAAGAAGGGAACCTTCGAACCAGTCAAGCGCAATCCAGAAAAAGACTACTAGACATGGAGCAAGTGACACCACGCCAATGGAGAAAAGCGAAGCAACCAAAGTGCTGTGGATGTTTCGTCCCCAAATGACAGGAGGTGTGATGGCACCAGGTTGTTTTAATGTTGGTCGTGGGTTATTGTTTATTTGCTGTGCTCTCTTTGAATAGTGAATTGGATTCAAATTTCTGATAAAGGCGTCTTCGGTGTCAAATTCATTAGAACTGACAGTCGAAACAACCGTTGTTAAGCCCCTGGTGTGCTGCATTTCTAGATCAAAAAATATAGAAAGGCTGTATCAGAAATTTTCAATGGGAGTCGTCTGAGGAGACACGGAGATGCCGAAGAGAAAGTGTAGCAGGAGGTTCGGTAGAGTTGGAAGAAGAGCAGGAGGGTTGAAGATGCAAAAGAGTAATTTTGAGAATGAAATCTGCGGTACTTATATGTCGTGGAGTTTTGAAGATTAACAAACGGCAAAAGATCTCGCCCAAAGAAAAAGTTGAACGCGTACCCATGCAAAAAATATAATAAACGAAGCAGATTCCTAGAATAGTGGGTACAAGCACATTCCCAATGCGTTTTTGAGAATATTACACCGATCTATTGACGCACATGCAATTTGAATAATTATAAGCGCTTAGAAGTGTTAGGCCATGTTGTTAACTCCAAAAGCTTCAACTTCTTCCTCGTTTTCGTATTAACAGACACAAATTCAACAGAAGCCGCATTTTCAATTGATTGTTAGAATAGACAAAGGTCAATGTCTTATTTGATTAACTGCATTAGGCATTTGTACGCTTATGCGTCGTAAGCAAGGAGGATGGATTTGGACAAATGGCAAAAGATCTCGCCCAAAGAAAAAGTTGAACATGTACGTAGAATGGTTCCGAGAATATCACACCGATTTATCGACGTATATCATTAGAACGGACAAGGGTCGGTATCCCGTTTAATTAACTGCATTGGGCATTTGTATGCTTATGCGTCGTAAGCGAGGCTGGATTTTGACAAACGTCTCGCGGCGGTGCTGACGCACAGCCTCCGGGACAGTTGGTGCCGAACAGCCGAAGAGTGCAGATGAAAATTTGAATTCGTTTAGAGAACATATATGCTTCAAATACTCTAATAGGCACTTGTTCAATGTCCTATCTGTTTCACATCAAATCAGCTCAGTCAACACAGCAATGTCAATAAAGGAAGGTGGTAAGTTCATTTGGGACATTTCAATTATGCCCACATATCACGCTTTGACTAATTGACCGCAGTAACAGAAATGGGCGAAGTCTCATGCCAGTGGAACTTTGTTAATGTTATTAGCCATCCGAGAGAGCTCAAACAAGCAGCAAATATCTCTACCATTCGGCGCACAGCTATGCGAGCTATTCACCGGATCAAAAGACAAAATGAAGCCAATCAAACGCTGGCACAAACAAAAGTAGCCGCTGCATCACGCTTGGATCCAGAAAAGGATGATGCAGAGTCACAGCATGATAGCACCTTACTTTCGAGTCCACAGGAAGAACCGAACCCGTCTCGCGCCATGCTTGTTGTCCCCACTCGCGTTGATGTGGGATTATGTTACCCTGCGCATGTGGAATATCCCAACCAAGAATATTTGTTAAATCACTGTAAGTCCGAAGTTATACTCGTTGCTATCTAAATTTGTGTTCTTTTTCATTGCATTCTCTACAATTGATTCCGAAACAAGAGGCTTATCAATTTAAGGGACCTCTGTCATGGCGTCTCTTTTACTTCCCGTTTGTACGAATCAGGATCCCATGAGTAGCGTCTGGGTCCACCACGCTTTCGGAGATCCTTTATTCATGTGTACAATCCTTCTACATGCTGCAGTACATCTCGATATGATCTACAAAAGGCAACCTAGTAGATTGACCCTTCAGTTTGGAATTGAGGCCGCAAGACTAATGAGCTTACGATTGGATTCGAGAGACTTACATCTCAAAGATACGACTATTGCTGCTGTTGTCATGATGCTGGCAAACCAGGTATGTTTGCTTCTACCATTATCATTGGGTTAGGTACTAGAGTGATGTTTTAGATATTGTCTGGCGATGTCGTGGAAATGGTGATGCATTTGAATGCTTTGGAGAGAATGATCGAAATGAAAGGGGGATTAGACATGTTAGGAATGGACGGAGTTCTGCAAATGTCTCTCAAGTGGTCCTCAACCCTTACTGTTTGTTTAAATAATCTTTCTAACTATATACTCAGGGTCGATGTACCAATTGCCATGTTCCAGGACAACAGACCTCGATCTCTACGGTCAGCGTCAATAATGTGTTTAGAAGATTTAATTACCAGTAATCCATCTGCAACCGTCTTCCCCTCCTCCTTCGATCTACAAAAACTTTCGCAAACGGATATCGCCACGGGGCTATCCCATCTTCGCAAAGAGATCAAAAATCTTACCGAGACGAGGTCCCGCCTCATGGCCCATCCGTTTCATACCTCGACCACCGAAAGCATGAAATTTGCAGCTAGACGAAGGATTATTGAGCAGATGCTTCTTTTAGCTGGTCGAGGGTTTTCTATGATGCATGGACCAGACAAAGATGCACGCCTACGAGAAGCGAGCTGTATTGCGGGCAGTATATATGTTAGGACTGTGCTGCAGGGTTTCCAGGCCAGACCCTCTGTCGGACAGAAAAATCTGACCAGGCGACTAATGACTTGTGTGGAGCGCTTCGAACTAGAAGATCGGGGTAAGACTGGTGCGGAATCAACTTCTATTGCTGCGCTTTTCTGGGCCCTAAATGTTGGTGGCACAGTGAGTTTAGACCTAGAGGAAAGGACATGGTTCATCTTGCATTTGAGCAGGGTAGTTAAACAACTTGGATTGCGTAGCTGGGGGCAGGGCTTATCAATCCTGAACTGCTTCCTTTGGGAGGAGAAACTGGAGACTGAGGCTTGGAAAAGCATCTCCGCTGATGTACAAGAATTCATTGTAAAGGGTTAAGTCACCAATGAGTTCGTCTCCATTCGCCCTGTCAGGCAAGCTCTACTCGACGCATAAACCTGGTTTCCCTTGTCCCTTCATTTTCGAATTCCATCTCCCTCGATTCCCCAAGGTAGCAACTACCTGGTCAAAGTTGGCCTTTCTCCACCAAGTTTCTGATGGTTTGAAGAGTCGAGTATACCGCGGCAGCAGCTATCTGAAGTTGATTAGGTTAGAATCGAATTCCTTACTTGCGGTATGCGTCAGTCTGGCCACCTACCGTTTTATGTTGATCCTCGGCCTCCTTGGCTTCGTCACTACCTTGGACGAGTTGGGGATGCTCCCATGCGAATATAAAGGTCAGAAACAGCTCATTGTCGCCGGTTGAGCCTTTGCCCATGCTGATGATGTTTGTCGCCGTGCTACCGTCTTCCATGTCGTAGTCCAACCGGCACGGTGGGCTCAAAGTGCACACCTCACGGATCGTACGGGCGTGGGCCACGGCACTATCGGCCTTGAAGATGACGGTGGCAGTGATCACATTGTCCTTCTCCGAGTGGATCTCGCAGGTCTCGACGACAGGCACAAACTCCTGTGGTACACGTGCTTTCCGCTCAAGTCCAGCCCAGACCTGAGCATGGCTAAGGATCGATTGGGCACCAGGAGGATTGACAATCGTCGTGTAGGCAAGGTGTATTACCACCATGGCGTTAAATACCTAGGTAGGTATCCGCTTCCTCGCTTGCGTTGCGTTATGTCCGGGGCTGAGACTCTTTAGCGTCCAGTATTGTGAAGAACCCGGTTCAATGATGTCTTGTTATGAACCCTGATACGTATAATACTTTGTCCAGTATTGCGTTCTCTGGGATCCCTTTTGTAGATATCGCCGGACTTGACGCCTTTACCAGAAGTTGTTCTCGTTTGCGATGTCTCAGCCCCCGGTGTACGACACTATTCGGACCTCCGGTGCTACATCCTCGCATCCTCGCATCCTCAGTGCTCAGGATGCTCAGTCACTTGCCTGCTCTCGTCTCTGGTAACCAATCATAATTTACTTTCTATCCGGATCTTCCATACGAAAGTTGTCAACTCCACACGATCTTTTTCACCGGAACCAACTCGGCTCCTACGGAGTCCAAACAACCCCCCTCTCAGCGCGCATTAAAGTCTAGTGAAATTGATGTGCTAACGTTAAGGCGCTGAATTTTGCCCTGCCCTATTCCCAACGCCAGCGCCTTAGGCCCTTAGTGGCCCTTAGTGGCCCTCACTCTACAACGAAACCACCTTATGGTTGAGAAAACTTAATCTGAAACTAATTTTAGATTTTGAGTACTACAATTACGACTACCTCAGTTTAAAATAATACACCTCGAAGTAATTGCGTCTAAAGTAGGATGTCTTAAGATAATACAAGATTATGTATATACTATATTTTTACTTTAAGGCAAAGGTAGTCCAAATTGTACTACTACAACTCACGCTAGCTGATTTCTTTTAAAGTACAAAAATTCAGCTATGATAATGAAGATCTTAACTAAGCGTTACTTGAGAAAATGAGCTCACATGTTCAATTTATAGAGCAATTTTTTTTTCTTTATCCGTCGCTGTGGCTTTGATGGTTATTCCTTTGAACGGACACCGTCGTGACACCTTGATAGGTGGCTTTGTTGTAGGCAACTAGGATTTGCATAATCCCAAATGTAAATAACATGGAAATTGTAGCCGATTCGAAAGGGACCAGAAGAGAACCTCCTGAGCAAAATCTGGATAGGACCCAGGGTTTTGCTCAAGCTAGAGCAGCGACTGCTTAGGTTCAAAGATGGAAATGGAATTTGGTGGGCAGAATTGTCGTCTGAGAATATAATGGTAACCTTTGGGTTCTGGAATGGGTCGATGGTCGGTCAATCAAGATGATAAGGAGCGGAAGACTTGTTTCTTTATGTAATGCACAGATCAGTCTCTGACTGCGTGACGTTTCTCAGTCTAACAATACAATGAGTTTTTGAGAGTCTTTTGAATCAATCTTCTGTTCGAAAATGTCTAGCTGAATAGTAAAAAGCCTCCAGAAAATGGGATCATAAAGCACGTTCTATGACACGACCAACCAAAAATTGATGTTGGGTTGAATTCCTATGTTTGAATTAATTCAATTCTAAGACGAACTCATTTGTTGTGAGATTAGGAAGAAGTGACAATCCCACCGAAGGGAAGGAGGAGTTGGCACAGCCACAGTGGCGGATGGCGCTACTTAAGCGAAACAAGTCCCACTTACCCCTTGTTTTACGTCTCAGCATCTTCGACCTTCATTGACTTGGCATCTTCCATCGACCCCGTCTCTTCATCGAGATCAAATTCAACAGATAATTTCCTCTTGCCCGACCAAAGCCAGCCAAATGCACCTGTTTTATTCATGTCTCTACTCATGCGCATGTACGGGCCCCGCATGTCTTCCTGGATGAGACTCTGCTTTCTCCTCGGTGCTGCGTTGGCATCGGCTCAGCGAGCATCTCTCGAACAGAATACCTACAGATTTCCAAATGCAGAGGTTCTGGCAACACAACAGAAATTTGTAAAGTACGGTCATCCATTGCGAGTGGTAGTGAACGACGCCGAGAAGCAAGCCATAAAATACGTCTTTCTCGACTCCAACAAGCTACAAGGAGGCTACTCTACAAACTCCGAGGAAATATCAATCGACTTACCAAGTCTTCCGCCGGGCGATTGGAACGAAGCCCACATTTATTTGGACGGACGTACCGGAGCATACACGATCAGCAATACGACTCTAACAAATCACTTGGAGATGAAAGGTTGGTACCCTCGAAGGATCGAGTACCTTGATTTTGTCAATGTTGAGACGCTTCAGCAGGATAGGTTGCAAGTCGTTACGCACCCCAACTTCGAAGCACCTGTCCTGATCAAGATTGCGAGTTTCCCATGGGAGATGCCGTCTCTCGAGCAAGAGGCTATTGTGTACCAGCTCCTTTACGGCTCGGGAGCCACGCCTGAATTTCTCGGTCACGTCACGGAAAGCGGTCGAATCATCGGCTTCATCACGGAGTATATAGAAGAGATACCATCGATAAGGGACAGAAACGTGCATGGTTGCATCGCCGCTCTTCGGAAACTGCACCATAGAGGCATTGCTCACGGGGACGCTCATGATGGAAACTGTTTGATACGCAAAGATGGGTCAGCCGTTATTATTGATTTCGAGTTATCACTGGAGACCTCGTCGCACCAAGAATTCGAGAGGGACTTGGACATAATGGGTCGATGCCTTATTGAGGCAGTTTCCGAGCGTTCGTGATGATGCTCACACCCGAAAGAGTGGTATGATGATGCCATAGGGTGGGCCTACTGTAGAACAGAGTTTTAAGTTTGTCACAGAGTTTCCGATCATAGAATCATGGGCCACATAGTATACAATGGTACTTATGAGATGTTGGAACAAAAAGGCACGTGCAGAGGTATGCGACACGGGGATTGCTGCACAGCTTCAAAGCGCCATCCCACCGGCACGCACTACCGACGGCTCCAGAATTTTCAGTTCGCACATCTTCATCCGGTACTCCAGGAAATGATGTACTTCATCTGAAGAATGTATCAGATCCTGGCGTTCCAGGGTTGTCTAAGCGACTTTGCCGTTCGGATCAGACGAAACGCGGCCGATCAAACTCCAGCAGTCAGAAATGGTGGACTTTGACAGCTGCAACACATTAGCCGCGGGAGAATTGGAATCGCTCCACGTTTTCGATCTTCGTCTTTTGGTCTCGCGCCACCTTGTTTGTCAATGCCGCTATGGTCTGTAACTATGATTTCCTGGCGTCTAACAATGGCTGATAAGATACCGAGATTCAGGAGTGGGGATCATCAAGATAATCAAGTCTCGTTGAGACGAACGTAGCGCTTGGGAAAGATATAAAGGAAAGCCAGTCCGAGTTGTTGAAAGGTTATCCATCAATCCATCAATCACTCTCTTTTACATTCATCTGCGTCTGTGACAGCATACGACCCGGCGTCGTTCATTACATTTTATTAATATCATTCGTTTTAAAGTCTTTCACTTCAAATCAACTTAACCGCAAACATGGTTCGCATCACTTTCGCTGCTGCTTTGGCTTGTAAGTTCCTTTCAATGGGCACAGGATTAGGCTCATACTAACCTCCTGTTCGGTAGTCGCCGTCTCCGTCATGGCTCTCGCCCCCAACAATGCCGGTGCCAAGGATGTCGGTAACGGTCAAGGCCAACAGTTCACCACTGGAGGATGTGTCGCCGATGCCGACTGCAGAAGCACCTGTTGTGCTGAGATCAGTGGTAGCGGCTTGGGCATATGCTCCGCCGTTGGAGCAGCCACTCAGAATGGCAAGGAAGGATGCGGCTTCGCTGACCCCAACGCTGCTGTAAGTAGTGTCTTAGTCTCGGTGCTTGTCAATGTAACTAATAACATTCCAGGCTACCATCGCGGCGGCCCAGGCTCAAGTCGCCAAGCAAGGTTTCAAGTTCAGGGCATAAGCAAAGAACTTATAGAATAGTTCGAGTTAACCCTTAGGGTTAGAGGCAGGGTGGGAGTTTAGCATACCGTCGATATTATAAAGAGAATAATTTGAAACTGTCAGCTTTCATTCAATCTTCACTTGGAACCCTTTGTGAGATCAATTTGTCAGAGTCATACATGAAGATACCCCAAAAGTTCATTGACGATTGTGAGTGCAGAACGTGAGATCACTGTCGCCGCCACAATATCTCTTCCTTCCATCCTAGGACGCGGAGCATTTGGGGACATTGGATGAGACTGGTAAATGTAGCACCTTGTCTTGATAGAAGTGGACTCCTGTAACTAGCGATGCTACTTGGAATTAGAAACTTGAAGCCATGGCCCAGGACTGTTGTCCATCACGTGTCCCCCTTTGACCTACGCGAGGATAAACGAGAAGACATTCGGATAATTTCATGTCTTGTATATGCATCTAAGTCGATTGAGCGACTCTTTTCAGAAGCGGAAAACATATTGAGTTCACAAGCACCAAAGGCGATCATCATGTACTTATGATATCTTCAAAAGGCTTAGGTTTGTTTCTTCCATCGCACTTCCTGAGGATCTCAAAGGACACCACCATGTACTTAATTGACGGAAGGGTACTATGTCAAGAAGCTCGATTTCGATTGGATCTTTCTCAACACAGAGGTCTTCATGAAGGGGGGCTACATCCATGGATCATGGACCTACAACTCCAGGGAGGAGTTTCTAGTTCTCGAGCGATACGATGATTACAGATTAAGCTACGACTTACCGAAAGCTGGAAAGAAAGTCAATATGCCAAAGCCTTACGGTATGGGCCACGAATGGTATATCGAAGCATGGAATGTCGTGGAGGATGGGAAGGGTGTTGAGAATTGGGAGTACTTCAGGTGGTATTGGGAGCATTACACATTTGTTCAGGAGAACATGGAGGCTTTGTATGACTATCTGTGGCCAATAGCGTGGTCTGAGGGCCTTCAAGGATTAGGACTTTGAGAATGCTATCATGGCTGTAATCGGTGATTGTCACACAGTCGAGAGTAGCATGAATACTTAACAATTGTTCCCTACACGACCGATCATCTTGGCAGCAAACACCAAAACCCTTGAAGGACATCTTCCTCGTCTCCAGCATCAAAGTAAAATATTACCTCGCTCATGCAATATTCTCCTCCACCTTTCCTTCCCTAAAACCTTGACTCGATTGATGCCCCTTGTCCATACTCGCATCCTTGATCACCAAACTAGCTAACAAACCCGCCCCCGCAATCCCAGTTGTAACATGCCAGACAGTCCTCAGTGCATCCGAATAGATATACCTATACACCTCCACCACAACCTTAGGAAACATTTCAATGATCCCATACGCTCCTGTTGCCTGCGCACCCGAAATCACAAAGTCTTCTGTCAACGACCCTTGTGTTACCGCTCGAGCCACAAATCTATCGAATTCGTTTTGGAAAACGGTCCCGCCAATTGCAACGCCAAAGGCCTGACCAGTGCTTCGGAAGAAAGTGATCATTGATGTAGCTATACCGAGGTCCTCTTTGTTCGACATGTGTGATTGGACTGCAAAGAGGGGAACTTGGAAGAGGAAGCCTCCACCAATTCCTGCTATGACACGTAGACCGTAGAGGATGCCTGAGCCCGAGTTTGGCTTCATGAGGGCGTTGAGACCTGTGCCGAGAGTTATAAGGATCCAGGCTATCCAGGTGAGCTTTTGGAAATGGAGGGTCTTAGATACCCATATACCCGCGAATACGGCTGAGAGCGCGACTGGAGCACTGCAAAGCAATCAGTAATAAATATGTAGAGGGAATATAGGTTCTGACCTTCCTGGGAGCGTTTCGGCTGAAGATTTGAACAAAGCATCTCCACGAGCACCGAGGAAGAATATAATAAGATAGTACGTGAAGGACCATAGTACCAAGCCATGAACAAAAGCGCCGAAGTAGGAAGCACTCGCAGATCTGTTTGAGAAGATCCTCATTGGAACCATTGGAGCTGCAACCACTCTCCACTCCACAACGACGAAGATGCCTAGGCCAATAATACCAAGAACTAGAGGTGCGAGGACACTCGCTGACTTCCAAGGATGCGCTGTGCCTCCAGTAGTCAACCCATATAACAGCAAAGTAGTTGCTGCGATGAAGATGCTCATACCAAGGTAGTCGATCCTCGCTAATTTGGAGCGGAGAGAGGATATTTCTTGGTGGAGATGTAGCGCGAAGACAAGGCCTATGATGCCCAGGACACAAACTGGGATGTTGATCCAAAATATCCATCGCCAAGACGAGAATTCGCCAATTGCCCCTCCAACTGGTACCTAGTATTCTCAATCAGCAACCGAACAACAAAGGAGGACTTACTGACCCCAATATTCGTCCCAAAGGCCCAAGCAAACGCGATGAATGACGCGAACTTGGGTCGCTCTCTCAAGGTGGTCATATCGCTGATGATGACTCCTGCCAGTGTAAGAATGCCACCTCCACCCAAACCCTGTGCGGCTCGGGCCCCAATCAACCATGCCATATTCTGAGCGCAGCCGCAAAGGATGCTACCCAGTAGGAACAAGCACGTAGCAAATATGATAACAGATTTCCGACCACTGCTGGATTCAGTGATTGTACGATCATTTGGCTAGGGACTCACAAGATGTCTGAGAAGGTGCCATACACAGGAACAACGATCTTTCTTGTTTAGCTTGAATTTCACTACGAGGAGCAGGTGGTACGTACAGTCTGGGCCAGTAAATAAGATGTCCCAACCCAAAATATCTCTAGGCTGCCTCCTTTCAGTGAGATAGCGATGGCTGGTAAACAAGCTGCGACAATGACTGAATCCATTGCTACGACACTAGAGACGAGACATAGAACAAACACCGTGACTTTGAATTTGATCGATTTCTTTGAAGTTTCATTTGCCCCCTCGTGAACTTGCTCGTGAGTGTTCGCGCAAGTTTTTTGATTTGGATCTGCAATGTGTTCTTTCTCTTCGACTGCAGGAGAAGCGCTCTCTCCTGACTCTGTGTCCATGCCGAACAACAAACAAAGGAGTCAAAAGCTTCAGGTGAAGAACTAATATCCGTACTCTGCAAAGACTGTCACAAATCTTATACCGTATAACTCAGAAGAAAGGGCAATGGACGAGACTTGAAATACTTTGCTTTCTCTTCACCAACCGAAGCAAATCTTAGTGTATCCTCGAGCAGTATCATATACGGGAGCGAATTATGGTCCAGACTTAATTCTAGGTCAGTGTTTTCTTACAAGTATCAGTAATCGCCCCGTTTCGATCACATAGTCGATAGTCGGTGCAATGTTGTTGCCCAGCGGGGTGTTGAGTAATCTAGCTGTTGTGCAACAAAGATTCTGAAGTCCTGTGAGACACATTGCTGCGGCCGATTTAGTCAAAGTATGCCTACCCGATATAATCGAGAGAATATGCCAGAATGGCGCACGATGAACCGTGAATGAGGTCATTCAAGAAATTCTCTTCGTAGAAGGTGGTGGAGAGGGCCAATAAGGAGAGTAAAAGAATATGGAAATACACGGCAACAACACATTAACCCAATCCAAACTTACATGACTGCTATTTAGTCAATGAATCGAAGCATAACAGCCGACAGTACTTCAAAGTCCCCCAGGACTGCTCCATATCCATGGAAAACGGAGTGAGTAAATCACATAAAATGGTATCCTGTGTCTGTGCAATCTTGAGTGTTTGACTCGAATATCCTAGCCTTCAGATCCTTTTGCTAGATCTAATCAGCCTGAACAAGAGCCATGAGGTCTTCTTCACTTGAGGATTTCTGCTCATTTTCGGCCTTCTTGGTACAGTTGTAGAGAACCATTGTTAGAATATGGACTGGCAGCTTAACGTGAAATAGAAAGTAGATATAAGCTGGTGCTAATTTATAAAAACACCAAGGCATGTTCAATGGCGAACGGAGATATAGAGCCTTGCTTGACCTATCGAATCTGCTTGAGCATTGCCTGCACAGCCATGCCCCGCCCTGAAAGGATGGTTTCTAGCTGAGCTGTTTCATTCTGCACTTTGGCATCGACAAGCTCGTGGATAGAAAGAATCGAAGTATCCGAAGTCATGAGAATGGGATCCTGCCTCTCTCGGAATCGTCGGGATTTTGGTGTTGTAGTTGTACAGTACAGTAACAGTGCCTTGACTGTAAGACGGTATATGCCGAGGCCGAGTCCGGCTGGTGTGTTTCAAACCTTCAAGCTTCCACTTCTTCACACCAAATCCAACTCTTCCATCAATGCGACGAACAAGCAAGAATGTACTCCACTTGAAGCAAACGAAAGAAAGTCAATCGGCAATTTCCCGCAGATTCATCTCCCAATAACCCCTCGACCTACCTCTTGAAGACTCGTCCAGACACAAGTTGTTGCTTGAACTCCCTTCGAGCTTCGGAATTGCGATCATGAAAAGAGGACCCGTTGAGACGACACCGCCGCATGGATGATGTCTTCTTCGAGGATTTAAGCAGCGCCTGCGGTCACTCTTACAAACCGTACTCGGAGATAAGAGCATAGGAGCGAGTGTTGCAGCATAGACAACGAAGCTGCCATTCAGTGTCTCAACGCGAACGCGGCGGGGAAAACTCAGACCAGCTCTAAAGTCCATGGATATGGGGCAGAATGGACCATACGTAGTACACAATCGTCGGAATACCGCAAGGGTTCACAAGTTGATCATGCACTCACTGGACGAAATGGCCGTTAAATGATACGGATGGAACGACCCGAGCCAAAGTGGAGAGATTCTGACAGCGGACGCCAGGCATTTAGTGGGCTAATTTCTCTCAGAGCATCTTGGCAATTACTTCAAGTATGTCTCGTCCAGTGGCAGAGCTATTCTTGAATCCCTAACTCCGTATGAAGTACTTCAAAGTCTATGTTCCCTGTCTCCATGGACCAGTGTTATGGCACTGTCGCGCTTTTTGGGGAAAACTCCACGCGGTAAGGGGCTGAGATGGCCCGGGTCGCTTCCAGTTACTCGCTCCCAGGCGAAGTTTACATACTGTACAGGGCTGAACCCCCTGGTTTCATTTCTTCTAGTGCTCTCACTAGTATCATTGTGTGCCCATTTGCGGGACCAAAAAGCTACGACTGGTTGGCTCGTACTTTTGGTGTACTTTTCTGACGCCGATCTCTAATTCTAAACATGGAAGTTATGAATCCTCACAAGCTTGGCTGATTTTTTAGTACTGCGGCGCAGCTTATTTCCATGCGACTCAAAAGTCTCTACTCCATCGTTTGTGACTTCTTCAGGATTTGTCTGGCAATTTGTTGTCGTCGTACAGTATGATTTCTTCTGGATCTTTTCGAATCGTCTTCGCCTTCCTCATTCTACTGCCTCTTGTTTCTGCGTCTACTTGCTACTGGCCCGACGGTAGCGATGCGGATTCTGCTTATGTAGCATGCAACTCAACTGCGTCGACTTCAGCGTGTTGCTCAGCAAATGATGCGTGCACTACTTTTGGATGGTGTTTGGGAGCTTCTGGGATGACCTACAGAGGAGGATGCACAGATCAAAATTGGAATTCTCCCGCCTGCATGACTTCGTATTGCCAGGGTGAGTGCTTCGACCGAGTATCAAAAGCCAGAATCTGACTTTTAGAAGGCGTAAAGGATGACTATCAATTTCTCATGAATTGCAACTCGGGAAATTACGTCGCGGGTGAAACCCTTCTATGGTGTTGTTCGACCAATTCTGCAGGTTCCTGCTGCAGTAACAACTTCTCACTTCCATTTTCCGTTGAGAATGGTCTCACTGGTCGTGCTTTCATGTCCGACCTTGAACAGTCTGCCGTCACTGTCACTAAGACCGCTTCGGCAGCTACCGGGACTGGAAGCCCTACATCGTCAGTTGCAAGTCAGAGCGCCAGCCAGAGTAGCAGCCAGAATGCCACTTTGAGTGCCAAAAGTAGCAGTTCGGGAGTCTCTACCGGTGCTATTGCTGGGGCGTCCGTTGGTTGTGCTATTGGAGGAGCCCTGTTGGGTGCAGCAATAGCCTCCTTGCTCTTGAGACGTGAGTGTTTCCCATGAAGGCGTTTCACTCAGTACTTATTATCATACAGGCCGGAGATCCTCATCGCCAACCGAACTACCTGCAGAGAACAATGGTGCTTACCCGTACGATGCTCCAAAGAATCCATATCCAGGAACGCCTTCTAGTGCCACTTTCACTCCTGATCAGAATAACTACACACCTGTTACGCAACAATATCATCCTCAGCCGGTAGTGCCAATGCAGGAGGCACCTACTCACGCCCCGAATTATGAGCTCGATGGGCAGCACCACTGAGGTTAAAGGGCAATTCTACTTGTGTTTAAATGACAATCCTCAAAAGCTGCCTGTTTTGATACTGCACCTGCAGGCTGAGTATGGAGTTTGTAGCAGGGATGGACGCCTTGTTTGAACGTTTGGGGGGAAAGCCCATATCTTTACATGTATATACTTGTGGCAGACTGCATTTCAGGAGCTGATCGATATCGGAGGGGTCGACTTGAAGATGCTGAGGAGGCGGATTCGAGATCTAAGCGGGAACAGAGAAGGACAATTCCGGTGTATGAGTCTCTTGTTGCTTAAATTGGTCGATAAGAAAGGAGGCAGGGTTTGATTGTGACCGACTGCAATCGAAGAAGCCAAATCTGCAGGAAAATGTATATTCATCATAGGAATGTTGTTATACTGACGATCACTCTTTGACTCTACCATGGAAGGCTATCTGAATCTAGATCTCGAGTGAAAATTCTCATAGGACATTGTAAGTACAGAAAATGCGGACAAGGGAAGTGTGTTACCTCCAAGCATTTGAGACCACTCAAACTCGCTCAACCTAACGCGACTCTTCGCACCATCAACTTCTCCACGCGCAATCATGCTCCGCCATGCCTCCCACTCTAGAAGATGACCACTTCTCTTCTGGCATCTATAATGGCTACTCCCAAAACCCGACTCCCACCTCCTACAATCCCAATGCCTCGCAGACACAATGGTACGACAACTCTACCCCCGCGATCGATGCGCCAGCTGCTCCACCAAGCACGAAATCAAAAGCCGCTCCGCAAGACAACGAAAAGCTACGCTTGCTCCCAGAATTAAGGGCCATACCATGGAGGAAGGGAAAGCAATGCGCGCCTGAGAAATCAACGCATAGCAGCAGACCGCAGACTCGGGGAGCGTTTTTGTTGGTTACGAGGGGAATTGTTCGTGCTCCATGTACGCACTGCGAGACTGGAGCTGGACGCTTCGCGTTATGTATTTCTCTCAATGATTGGTATCATGGAGCGTGTGCGACGTGTGTTATGGCTACGAGGGGGAACAAATGCAGTCTTAGACAGGATGTCGAAGGTCGGTTCTGGTATTTGAGACGAAAACTGGCGCTGACTTGATGGCAGAGGGTTTCCTACCTTTGGATGGACCGCAGCAACAAGATTCGACACGGTTGGCATCTCCTGATGATGGGAACGGGGAGTACCAAACTTCATCTGCGAAGCGCAAGCAATCGCCAACGAGGGCATATGTTGCAGGATACTCTCAGGACGAAAAAGCAGTTGACGAGCATCAAAGTCCCTCTCAGCCTACGCCGAGTACAAACAACTACCAAGCCTACAATAGCACACTTCCACCCCAATCCACGAATCGATATCCTACAATGGCTCCCCAACAGCCTACAACATATACCCCAACTCCGAACCCTCACCCTGCAACTCAAAGCTTTGTACCAAACGACAAGTCCTCATTACTAGATTACGTCTATCAAAAACAATACCCGCCCAACGGCAAGAAGAGGCATCACATCCTCCATCAAGCCGAACGGGAAGCCTCACAAGGCACCAATAAACCTGCACCCAACAAGCGGGTTAGACTAGGCACTGAGTACGACGAGAGGGCAGAGGCATCTAGTTCCATATCACCAAGCGTACAACTAATCCAGTCTGCGGCAGCTTATAGACCTGGAGGCCATGAGAATGAAGCTACACCACTGATTGACACGCTGTCAAAGAAGAAACAGAGGGAGATATTTGGCATTATTGGCGGATTGCAGAGTGGTATTAGGCTGGTGAGACAGCAGACGGACAGTTTGCAGAAACAGCTGGATCTTTTACAAAGTGCTTTTGGGATCGATTTGGATGAGGATGAGGAGGGGATTTGATGGATTTCTTGTATCAAGAACGGAGAGAATTGTTTTGACGATAAGGACGAGATACCCTTTCCAATGGAGTTTGTAGGATATTGTTACATTGAAGCTGGCGTTTCCTTCATAGCGAGGCTACGAAGTCTGAAACTCGAGTCGAACATGGGACAGAATCTCATGACTTTTCAGAAGTCAGGCTTTCATCTGGACAAATTTCCACCTTCTGGACAAATCACGGTGCTACGAGCTGCGCCAAGGCTTCTGTCGCAATACAGTCTCTGGGCGAAACTGTGTTACAATATCGTACTTTTTCACGTCTGTCTTGCATCATACGACGAGACTTCCTTTTTTATACTCCCAGCTTTCGGACACACGGCATTCCACGTGGGAAACGAAGCAATCCCTCGGTGACGGCACAGCACATGAACCAATGATAAGCAGTGGCAAGTCTACCCTTGCACTCCTGTGGCCTTTCGTCTCGAAACGAAACCTCAATCCTCCCCTCTAATAGGCCAGCCTTGCTCCAGAAAAGGTCTCACCTCACCTCGTCTCCAGCTCAATTGAGCCGCCCCTATCCATCTCCACAGGGCTGCAGCGGTCCCGATTCTCGTACCTCGCATCCATAACGCACGGAAAAGGTGAGTGTGCCTCGACCTTGCAGGTCCTTCCTCCGGTGAGCGAATGAGAGTTATGTTGGTGGCTGCGAGGCTGAGATGGAACAGGGGTTAGGTGCTGAGGTGAGAAGCTGAGGTTGCCCCCACGAGCGGCGGTTGGACAGGAATGTCGGGGTACGAAGTCGTAATGTGACGCCAGAGTCATTAAGTAGGTGTCTGCCTCTCGGGGCGGAACATCCTTTTGGGAAGAGATGGAATGGGTTCGGTCCGAGGGTGGTGTTGGAGACGGGTGTTATCTTTGAGGGGTGAGTGAGGGAGGGGAGGTATAAGACGTACTGTCCCTCTCTTATCCTTGCTTGCTCTGTACTTGCTACCTTTCTCTTATTCGTACCGATTTTTCCGTCCGCTTTGAAGTTATATATCAATAGTAGAACGATGTATATCGGGTCTTACGTCGAAGCGGCTACGACCGCAGCCTTGTCTTGGTCTCAGTTCTTTATGGGCAACGGTCATCATCACCATGAGGTTGATTATTATGCGAGGAATTTGAAGACTGTTAGCACGATTTATAACTTGACTGTTTATCCAAGTCCGTATTACTATTTCCGATCTTCTAATGTTCTCAACTCTTCTCCTCATTCATGCTCTCCTTCAACTCTCATCCCAATACGGAGGTAGCCTCTTAGTTCTAACACCTCACAGACAACCTCCCCATAATCGTCAACGGCTCCTCAGCCGTGCCCCCATCTCTTTTCTCTGCGAACGCTACCGGCCGCGTTACTCCCCTCGGAAACTTCACATCCTTCGAAGATAGCATCGAGTATTTCTTCGCTCTTGCGTTGGTCCCAGCGCCGCCAGCCTACAGTGTATTCTCGAATGCGGAGGTTGTTGAGTTCAGCAGTGGATGCCCGGAGGTTGCTGCAAGTGTTGCCTATCTGTGAGCTCCTCTAAGCATGTGGATATAGAATGAACGAGGCTAATGAGGTATTATTCAGGACGACAAGTGTCTGGTCTGGAAATGCCTCCGCCCCAGGACCTTATTTGAGTACCCTGAAACAGGTACATCTCCTTCCTTCACTCTCCGACCATCAACTAACAAGATCCAAAGATCGCATTCTGGCGCTTCGACAAGAACGGCGCAGTCCAAGACTACGACGCCTGGATCCCCAACCTAAACGACTGGAATTACCTCGCAGAAGGCAAACTCGACATCTCCAATCCGCTCGTGCAAGCCGGCGAGATCCAGCAACTATGCCCTCTCATCCAACAACGCTGCACTGGCTCAAATCAACAATATACCGAGTTCGTCCCTCCCCTTGATCCCCTCCAAAAAAAAGCCAACTAACATTCCAAAGCGTAAACCAATGCGTCTCAATCCTATCCAACAAAACATTCGGCAACTTCGACGAAGTGTGGGGAAATAACGTCGTTTGCAGAAGTATACACGTTATCCTCGCGCTAGTAAACCCAGTAGAGCATTGTCCGCATGTGGGACCGACGGGAGGCGGGAAGTGTGTGGATGAGCCGTATAATGATGGTTATTTCGATGATGAGGCCCTGTTTGGGAGGCCGGAGGGACAAGTGTTTGTTTGTGATAAGAAGGGTGGCAGGGGTTGGAGGGATTAGGGAAGCCTGGTGAAGGATTGGTTGAGTGAGTGTGTGCGTAGGATGAAAAGTGTGGGTGTTTGGCGTGAGGGTATATTGGGCTGGTGGGTATTGTACACGTATTGGTTTCGTTTCGAGTCATTTGTTTGAATACACTTTTTGATCGGTCAGTTCCTTTGCCGAAGCTTGAGCTTTAAGACACTCAACGTTAAGCAACATTGATCTTTCTGGTACTTTATATCGTTGCGTCCAAGCTATCACAGATAATTATATTGTCTTTTTGGTATTGCGTGGATTTTGAATACAATATTTCTTTAGAGATGATTTATTTCCTCGCATTCTTTTTGGCTCCTCCTCATTCCATCAAGTGATGTGAGTGAGGGTCTGGAATGCCACGTTCAAGACACAATTTGCCATTCCATCCCGCTTCTGCTGTCTTACAAATGACCACAATACATATGTGTGGGATATCTTGAACGTCCTTTCATGACTTATCAAGCACGTCAAAGTTGGGTGTCTGTTTCCGCAGCCAAAGATGCCGGACTATTCCTGCTATGTCACTATTGCCAATAGGTTGAACGTGAATCTCCACTTACTAAGCTGGAATGTCGTACATGGTTTTTGGGGTAAAGAACCCGATAGTGTTATCAAGGCTGGCACCACTTCCGGTCAGTGCCGGCTTGAAGACCGTTTCTATAAAGGATATTGACATCTTCAAAAGATCTTGCTAATGGGGGTGTGTTACAGGGGGACCAGGAGCAGACGGCTCGTTCATATACGATGTGCATATACCAGGAATGCAGAAAGTTGAGCTCCACTGGCAATTTAGATGCCCATACGCAAGTTCGACGAATTCGTTTAACGTCTATATGAAAAGCTATGGCGAATTATTCGTCCTGAACAACACCCCCTGGAGCGGCATCTGAATCAACCAATTTCGACAGCCATGGGTGTAAGTCAGCCACCTCCGATCAAAGACGCAGTAGACCGGGCTGTGGAGAAAGCCAAAGCTATAGCACCACCACCGATAAAGAATAGCAATGCGTCCATCTCGTCGCTTCCCGACCTCATCGTATCGCAGCTCTCGCAGCTTTTGAGCGTATCGAAGGAGATCTACATCAGTCCTTCAGATGCCCGTGTTGAATGGACTTTTGGTACCTCGCCACACGAACCCATCCGTGTGTCCCTCGCAGTCTTCCCAGACCATGACATGGCTGTAAACGCGATACGCTACGAGCTTGCAACATTCCAACTACCCGTGGACCAATTATTCCACACACCAGCTGATGCATGGCGCGGTCAGTATGAGCTCGAATCAATCATGAAGGGCCACGATATGGTCCTGGTTAGGAGAAGTATCCTACTCCGCGTACGGTGGTTGAGATCAGGAGCACTTGGAGAGACTAATTCTAATCTGTCCTCCCGCGTTGCGGATATCATCGTCAGTGGACTCAAGAAGCACGAGGTCGACGCTCCTCTATGGCGCTTGCCTCAACCTACACCGCTAGCTGGTGTGCCTGGAAAGATCCGGGTCGGACAGCAATTCACGGTCCATGCTTCAGTAAGTATCAAATGCAAAGGCACTGGAGTTGTCCAGCTGACACGAAGCTCAGGTTGTAGATGTCGTTGAGTCAAAAGGCAGTACCGACACTGGGTCAGTCTTCCTGATTGAGAAAGACGAGACGTCTGAAACGTTTACGTTCGCAGGAAGGAGGGCTGGTAAAGACAAGATAACGTTGAGCTTCGCTCATAAGGACACGCTAGCTGTCGCTACGCAGGAGTTCGAGGTCGAGGTCGAAGATGATGCGTGATTTAGAGGTCTGGGCCTGAATTGGATGGTGCGATATTGAAAAGGCGGTGCGTCCCACCCATCCCGAAATGTGACTAAGCCATGTGTATTCAAGGATTTGAGTGTGGAACTTGAGCGAATGCTGAGTTTAAGACCTCGTAGTTGAGCCCGAGTGCTGATCCTAAGTAAGTATTGAGCTTAATAGGTGCTGAGCTTAAGAACCGAGATTGAGGGTTGAGCTTGAACATTGAGCTTGAACGAGCTATAACTTTGAGCGAGTGTGGACCTCGAATGTTGAGCGTAAGTTGCGCTTTGGTGAAGAGGGCCGCGAAACTTCGACATGCTCCTCTGTCCCCTCAGTATCCCCTAAACTGACCCCTCTCAAAGCACGGACTTCTGATTGGCCCAACCTGGAATCCTGATGGTCTGACTGGCTCGCTCAGCAAAAACTAGCGGCCGCACCAAAAGGTGTTCCGAATGGCAGCTGAAGGGATACAACCAGCAGATCGTTGGGATGATAGTGGTCACATAACAAAAAGTCCTATAGTGCATAATGATAGCAATTTCCGTCGTGTCCCCTCTCTAAAGTTCGGGCAATCCCATGTCGGTAAAATATTGGATGTGATAGCTTCAATTTGATAACACGTCGTCGTTAATCCCATCCCCCGTCAAAATCCAATGCCTTTTCATCTCAAAAGATCTCTACTCGATCTCAACTCGGACCCGACGTCGCCCCGCATAGGTTTCGAAGGGAATGTTAGAGTAGAGGGTCGTGAACATAACGTTTCTCGATGCGCAATTGTGCATGTGTTGAGTCCGTTCAGCCTTTTCTTCCCAGTACCATTGAACCCGAGTCGTGTCGAAGTAAGACTTGGTGGTCGACGGTGTGATGCTTGCTTTATTTATCGTCGTGATGTGTGGTTAACGTCATCGAAGTATCGAAGAGTCGAGGTACGATAAATGAACTTAAGGTTGGTTTAGACTTGACTGCTGATAGAATTAGGGTCATGAGGACAAAAAGAGAAGTTAACATCGTAAGCAGTATATGCTGACGAGAAGTAAGGTAGTACTCGAGGGTGAGAAAGACATAAGAAAGCAGAGACTACAATATAAGTGCACGACGATGATCCAAAGGAGATCGATATGAAAGTAAAGTGGTAGAAGCATAGCATTGGTAACATGAACCAAGACTAGCTAATCCGATACTCGTACATCAATATGCGCTCCAACGCTATGTATAATCCCAACCCAGACCAGCAACGCTGAAGTGCTGATGACTCGAACCCCATAAACGCCTGGGGTGTCAATCCCGTATGTACATCCTGACCGTGACGACCGACCCTATCAACCTGTCCGGCGATATTGGCGACGACTTATTGTCTATCTCTCTCTCTTCTTTCATCCTTCATGTGGTAGGTGACTAGCGACTTTCTCGACTGTCCACACTACTAATGCTCCCCTCGTCGCCGTTGAGGGTTCCGTGGGCGTTTGTGCCGTTGGAGTTTGGACTTCTTCTTCGTGCTGCTAATCTGGTGGCGGCGTCCATTTGCTTCTTGGTGTGGTTGAACATCTCTCGTGCGTAATGTGAAATGGTGAAGTGCGACTCGTCGTCGTACTCGTTTGGTGATGTGGCGTATTGGCCGTTTTGAGGGTATGCTTGTGATGCCATTTCGATGATTTGATGTGAGGTTGGAAATGTAGTGAAGTGGATTGTAGAAATGGAGGACTTCGTTCGACGAAGGATGTGGTGTTGATAATGGATAGTAGGTACCGGTACCTTTCGTGTTAACGTGCAGATAGATTTTTGCTTGTTTGGAAATGAGAAAAGCAGCTGCACGCTGGATATATATCCAGATCAGACCCTACACCAAACCACCCCTACTTCTCCCCTCTCTGCCTCCGCAGAGCTTAATCCATATTTCGTAAGGATCCTCCCTTTCCTCTAGCTCCGATTTTGAGTACCCCTGTAGAATTGCGTCGAGATCACCCAATCGATGAGGGCTCTTCCAAGTAGACTTCGACGGGTAGGAGTAAAGTGGGACAGCTGTGATTGTGTAAAGAACGCTATCATGAAAGGGGCAAGACCCTGCTGATCATGACATGAGGCGGCGTCATAAGCGATGTCATGCGGTGGCGGCTGCTTTGCACGTTTTGCAGTATCGCTAACGAATGAAACGAGACGGACTATTGAAATAGATGGAGATAGTGCGAAAACTAGGAAGTGAATGGATGGCATTTTGGGATCGGGAAGGGGATTGAAGGGTCGAGGATGGGATTTCTGCGTGCCGTTGAGCATTTTCAGCACTTGAGGTCAGAGCTCTTGGCAATACCACCCTTCTTTTACCTAGGCCGCAATGATTCATTGTGAACTCTAAATTATCGTCGTCGTGGGTGGGAATGTCGGGACATGTGAATTTTGCGCTCGAGTCAGCCCCAAGTCCAGTAGAGCTCGAGTCCTTCAGGTGAGGAGTCTTGTAATCTCTGATTCGAGGTCTTTGACGCGACACTTGTTGTTCGAGATTGGAGATGGACAGAAGGGAACATGATCAGCAATCAGCAATTCCTGTGAAAATCAGCAAGCAGAATGAGGTCTGATGGCAAGGATATCAATCCCCAGTGCCACTGACTTTCTTGATCTGCGCAGTTGCCGCTCAAGACGGGAAGCTGCAACATATCCTCGAGGGTCCTGGCGTGAGAGGCTAGCCGACCCCAGACTTCATGCACGGGAGCGGGATATCTTTCCTTTGTATCTTGGATATGTCGCAAAACAAACATGCAACTTGGTCTTGAGGTCTATTTCAAGCTACAGGCTCCGCAACGAGGTGTAGTGCACTCAGGTGACTAAGTACCACACTTTACTTAAGAGGCATGACCTGAGTGTATAATATCTGCATTGTTGTAGGTCAAAAGCGCGATACCGATGCCTGCGAAGTACGGAACGAGCGTAAACCGACCACATCTGGGTCGTTGAAGATGTCAGAATAAACAAGGAGTAAAACTTCCGCTCGGCTATGAGCCAATCAAAGCTGCCGACGTACGCCAAGCCAACTGACATCATCTCGACCCTTCTTGCATGCAAGCGAATCAAGTCGCTCTCTGATTTGCCACAGGGCAAAAGGGGAGTCCAGCTTTTTTCCGTTTGGCGTCCGTTCCCGTCAAAGGTTGCAACATCTTTTTCTCTCCTGTGTCGATCACAGCATCATAAACATCAACATGCCACCAACAGAGCAGGGCTGGACGAGGGTCAGCACTTCGAGAACATGGTGCGATGATTTGCATTCAACAGGGGAGTAGTTCTGCGCTCGAGAGAGAATGCTGATTACGACAAGGCTCTGGTCGCCGTGCCATCAAAAAGGGATCCAATTATTTGACGTCGATGGCGATGTCATGGCCGCTATATTGGAATAATGCCTTGAAGACGTCAAGGCTGAAGATTTGACAACGGGACGCTGCAGGTCTCTGTGTGTACGAGTACAGTAGTCTCAGGTTACTAGCAAGGGAAAGGGAAACCGTTGAGATGAGCTCAGATTTGCAGGATGTTCTCTCCGAATCACGACGGCAATTATCCCGAGTACCATCGACGATTGCACATCCTCCCTAGCTCAGATTATCAGATCCGATGAAGTCTACTCTTCTCGAGTTGCGCAGAGACTAGCAAATCACGAAGGGCAACAAACATACCCCTGTTTCCACTCTTACGAAGTAGCTGCCTCTTCAGCGATGATTCGATAGGATCACTTGTGCGACAAAGGATGTGTTACAGGCTCTCCTCCACGTCAATGTTGATGTTAAGAGATCTGCAGAACCTCTTCTTCTGAATCTGAAATGCCCCAGTGGGTAAATTGGACCCTGCAGTCGAGTGCACGATGCTACTGTATGTGCTCATAAATCATAGTTTTGAGCGTTCGCATTAATCTCCCAGCTGCGGCGCATCCTTCAGTACCTGCTGATGGAGACAGACGCTCTATGACATATTGCTAGTGATATGCGGCTGAGAGCTTGTCAACCCGATAGTATGTGCTGCAGTGAGTCTGACCCTTTCACCTGTTGAAGGCCCGTGGCGGTGGGGCACATATCGTCATGCTTCCCTGTAATTCATAGCACGATTTGTTGCCTGGAAGAACATTTGCTTTATCTAAAGTTAGAATTTTCTGAGTACGACGAGCTTCCAGACATATTTTTGAAGACAAAGCTCAAATTGCAGCCTGATAAATGCAAAGATTCTGCGCAAAGCAGGACTCACATCCCTTTCCGCGACGATTCTTCAGCCTGACATCCAAGGTGATGTGGCGAGGATGAGGTCACTTCTACCCTAACAAGGCTGATTCGCGAGGCTGATCCTCCCTAGACGCCTCTGACGTTTGGCTAGGCTGTATTCAGGGGGGGTGAGGAAACCTCAATCGTATGTTGTATCCTGTCCTGTGGCATGGAAGGGAAAATCAGCGATGATGAAACACACGTGTCCAGCTTCCTTGTTTGGGGAAGATCTTAAGTCCTGTGAGATGATATTTCATTGCCACCCTGTTTCTTGCAGCGGAAAATAAACCCGACATCGTCCCAAGAAAGATCTTCTTTATTCGGTGGTGCTGTTCATGACAGTACCGTTGATCAAATCGTCGGACCCGGAGACATCGAGAATTACATCTCAATAATACACAAATCTAAGCAGCGTGTCATTTGGATAATCTTTGCCCAACCTTCGATCGTTCTCGGGGGCCCTCAGTGGGATTTGTTTCACAAATTATCATAGCCAATCAATTTTCCACATTCGATCTCCCATTCTCACTTCGTATCCCATACTGTCAATTACATCTTCCGGGTTCTCTCCGTCAGCAGATTGACCTGAGATGCTACAATTATGTACATCTTACGAGCTAGGTCTATTCTTCTACTTCCGTTCGCACACCCTGGCACGTACTACTCTAAATCTCTAGTCTAGCTTACCTAACGACTTAACCTTTCACGACACACAAGCAAGTTATCACCATTGCGAATTGCACGATCTCCCAACCTATTGACGCAAGTTTACCGCACAAGCCAGCCCTGTTTCGAGTCTGCCAATGCATATATATTAGCGATCTCTGATAACTCGGCGGTCATGATCGGTTTCTTCTTCCTAGTATCGACTTCACAACGGCTAAGCCCTAATGCCTTGTCTTAACGGTGTGCCATCGACACTCTCCTTCCACTTATTTGTCCACCGAACGAAGGAAGATCATGGAGGGGCTGAAGGGGATAACTGGTTGGCGAGCAATGATGACACGAAAGAACTTGGAAGAGAACAAGAGGACGTTGAGAAGTGGAAAGACAATTTGAATCTTATTTGAATGTCCGTGAGTAGTGGCTGCTTCAACAAAAGGTAGCATAAAGGTTTTGTGAAGGCACAAGTATTAGGAAAGATGGAAGTTCAAGGAGAGGAAATAAGTTTCAGTAGCTGAGAAGAAGATTTATAACTGAGCAGTCAGGACTTGGAATTTGGATGGCAGCTTTGGATTTACGAAAGCCCAGTGTGGTTGCGCGGTGCAAGTCTCCCCATCGCAGAGGGTTTCTATAGGTGTAAGGCGATGATGTGGCTTCCTGCCTATGAGCACTACAAAAATGGAAACATGGATATTGCTATTAAAGAACCTATGGACTTAAAGTCTCAAGTCTATTAATCATACTGGCCACAAGAGTAAATATGTGATTGACACGTGATCAATTGCCCAAAACAGTCTGGTATATACTCGACCAAGAGTTCCCACAACATACATAGAGCGCTTCTCTCTTCAGCCTCGAATCTTTCAGATTTAACATGCCTCTTTCACGTACTTGTCGCACAATATCGAAGTCCGAGCACCGGGTACGGCGTGACAGAAGTCCTAGTGCATTTCTTAGGTGTTGACATCACCAACTTTCCCTTCGTCAGCCTCGCGAACATGCACAACATATGAGTACAATCATCACTTCCTTTCACTTCTATACAACAGTTCCATTATTTTAAACCACCTCTCTTTCCTTTTTCGAGTCAATTCCATATTCCATCTATCAATATGGGCATCCCACACTCCACCGCCCGCTGGGTAGCTCCAGTTTCCTTCCTCATTGACTTCGCAGCCCAGCAATATGGCATGCTCAGCTCCCCCAACATGAAAGACGTCCACGACGCAAACCTCTCCTTCTGGTCCCCCCAACCATTCTTCATTGCCGGATTCTTCTTCCCGCAACAATTGTTCCAATTAGCGTGGCTGTATCGCCTTTGGAAACTCGACCCCTCAAAAGGCGAGAAGGAACGACAAGAGACGCAGCAGATGGTGGATTTCGTGCCGTATTATGCTGTAGGCAATTTGTGCATTGCTAGTATGTTATATATCCTAGCAGTTTGGTTGTGAGAAAATTGCTAATCGGGAAATAGCTTGGATGATATTCTGGAATGCCTCGGCGCTGAAAACAGCCAATATCTTCGTCCTCATAAATTCCTTTACACAGCTCTATTACATTTTCTTCCGTCTCCCACCTATGAATACTCGCTCCACTTCCTCGGTCCTCACGCACATCGTCTCCAAGACCTTCGCTGGAATTGGAGTCCTAGATTTCTTACACAATGGTTCGGTTGCATATTTCGATCATCAGGGTCCGAATATGTTGGTGAAGGTCGGGACCGGATTGGGATTTGCGGCTTTGGCTAGTGTTAGTGATTGGATTTTTGGAGGGTGTTTGGTGTATGATCTTGTGGCGCTGAGCGTGGGTCAGAGTGGGATTAAGGGACAAGAGGGTTGGGGACGGTTGTTGGGCATGTATGCTGCGGGGACGGCGGCTGTCGTTGGTGTGAGGAATTGGTTGAGGTAGGTGTGTTGCTTCGTGGATGGCTGTTGTGATCAGATGCTTACATTCGTAGGCCGCCGTATGTGAAGAAAGATGTTGTGGAATATGAAGAGGTTGGAAATGAGGATGTGGTTTAGGAAAGAATTTGCGGCGTCGAGCAAAGTAGCTGCAATTCGTCTACAGATTTTCTACTCAGTGGTTATTTGGGTTGTATTAGTAGCTAAACTTCAATCAATACTTTGCGTTGATATGCTCGCCTCTGCAAGTACCTAGGTATTTGACAAATACTTAGCGAGGCATCGCATCTCCTCCTTTCTCTCGCCTATCTAGCCGAATGGGGAAGGTCGCATAATATGCAGGTCCAAAGGCTATACTACCCTGATTGGTTACGCCAACATTGTTGTTCCGTGCTTACGATGTACGGTGTATAGATAACTGCCTAGAGATAAAAACAGTGGTAGCGCAGCACAAAATAAATATCCCCCAAAAGTCTCAGGCATCGAAGTATTGATTTCAATCGCTCATCATGAAGCTATCAATTCTCTCAAGTTTGGCATGGTCAGCTTACTTCGTGAGTGCGGGGTATGCGGACAAGCGAGGGGTAGGTCAGATTGTCATCGACAATTCTGTGCTTCCAAATGAGCCTCGATATCTAATTGAGTTTGCCGATGGGCATGAGCAATGGGTCACTGATACTGAGAAATGGGCGCTCAAGAAGGTGCGTGTATCCTCACTGAACCACGCAAGCTAAAGCTTGAATTGACGAGACACTCAGGATGGCCAATTCTTCATGGATACTACCAATTTCCCTGACCTAGGAAAGTTCCGCAGCCAATTAGAGACACCTACCCCCAAATACACATATCCAGTTTCCGTATCTCAAAAAGGAAAGATAACACCCCTCCTCAAGGAGCTCAACAAGACGAATCTTCAAAGCAATCTTGGACATCTGACAACTTTCCATAATCGCTGGTATAACTCCACGTTCGGAGAAGCATCGTACCACTGGCTCTTCAGCAAGATCCTGACAACTATCGCATCAACAGGAGCGCACGAACACGGCATCACAGCTGAACTATTCGTACATCCCTGGTCACGCCAGAACAGCATCATCGTTCGGATTCCGGGTCAAAGTACCTCGACCATCGTAGTTGGAGCTCACCAGGATAGTGTGAATCATGAAGCTCGAATGGATGGCAGAGCTCCAGGCGCTGATGATGATGGGAGTGGGACCGTCACTATTCTGGAGGTTCTGAGGGTTTTGTTGTCAGACAAGAAGTTGGTGGGAGGTAAAGCGGAGAATACGTTGGAGTTTCATTGGTATGCAGCCGAGGAGGGTGGGATGCTTGGTAGTCAAGATTTGTGGGAGAGTTATATGAAGGGAGGAAAGACTGTGAAGGGGATGTTGCAGCAGGATATGACGGGCTTTTGGAATAAGACTATTGAGAAGGAGAAGGAGTTTGGGCTTATGATGGATGTTGGTGCGTGTGACATCTTCCTTTCTTGATAAGGAACTGACGACCATACAGTTGATAAGCCTTTGATGGAGTATCTGAAGCTCATTATTGAAGAGGTAAATTTTCTAGATCTCCGAAAATTTTGAGTAATTCGGAAGCTAAGTAAAGCATAGTATACCGAGCTGCCATGGGTCGAGACAGGGTGCGGGCCTTATTGCGGCTCCGATCACATGTCGGCCATCAAAGCGGGCTACCCAGGCGCTTTCATCATCGAAGGTGCATTCGAGTATACCGATAACCACCTCCATGGCGTCGACGACTTAGCTGAGTATTTGGACTATGACCACATGATTGACCATGCTCAGATGACATTGGGTTTCTTGTATGAATTGGCTTTTGCGAAGTTCTAAATGCCACTTGGAATTGTGGAAGGAGGACGTCACGTTCTGGAAGAAGTGAGCGAGCTCAAGAGAAGATTGGCAGATGAAAAATAGTAGAGAGGCGCTTTCTTATATATACACAGCTTTCAGTTCGGTGTCTCTGCTTTCCACAGCAACCTAATACAAAAGTTGATCAAGGGAATGAAACAAGGATTGAGAAAGGCAAAGGTGTGATTGGGCTTGCACAAACCCCTTCTCGCGAAAGCCAACCATTCAGACATGAAGCACAAATATTGAGAACCCAAATATTACCAAGCCAAAAACCATATCAACGCGGCCCCTCAATCCTGTGGCAACTCCTGTACTCCCTGTTTGCGTGGCTACCAAGTTCTGGGATGTACTTGCTTGAGCTGTCGGGGTAGTTACACCTCCACCGCCATTGAGCGTAAATGTACTTGTCGATAATGCGGAAGTTGTCCTCCTAGAACTACTGTCGAGATTCGCACCAGAAGAACTAGCATCTCTGCTGCCAGTCGAGGTAGTAGCTCCAACCTCGGATGTCGCTGTTTCTGAAACTCCTCCACCTTGGGTAAGTGTAACGCCGACTGGCATAGTGCCAGTGTATGTTGCATTATAAGAGGACTCGAGGGCGAGAATGCTAGATGGCATTGGAGCGATACTGAAGCTATAGCTAGAACAATCACTTGAGTAGAGGTCTCCCGCGTCACCAGAAATCCCGAAGACATCGTCACACCAGTAGCATTTAATCAGTTTAGAGATTAGCAATATATCTTCGTGCTGAAGAAGAAGAAGAGTGGAGACAGGAAACATCATAAAGCTGATGAACCCTTACGCTTGCCTTGCTGACACAAAACCGTTGCCGCACAAACACTCATACCACTGAGTCGAGTCTGACAAGTTCTCGAACGCGGAACATTTGTCATGGAGATTGTTCGACACGTCACAAATGGAATTGTCGCCATAGCAGAAAGCGAGATTGTCGATATCATCAGAGCCAGACCGAGCAAGTAGGATGCGAGAACGAAGGTCTTTGGGATATGAAGAGGTAGGTTCTGGAGGGTTTGGAGTGGTAATTGTAGCTCTTGTCAGCGACAAGAGAGCAAAAAAGCTTTGTAGAATTCTAGTTGCGTACATTCTGTCCTACTCTATGTCGTTGATTTTTTCAGTATCTCATGACGGTTTCAATTTAGAATCTGACTAGGGAAGTACCACCCTCTTTGATTCATTCTTCCACGGCTCTCCCCGCTTTATTGATAGGCATCTGGGCAGCAATTTTATTTTTAGTCCTACGAGCATCCTCTATCAACAGTCGTAGGATCCTTATTTTCCACAAGTTTGCTCATCTGCAAGCCACAACTGGGGTTCTTACAGAACTTTCTCTTTCATGTTTGGCCCCGAATGACGGAAAAACGCTAACCGAGGCCCCCTTTTCGAGGCATGGACCAGTCACTTTTATGCTTAATTTCCGTTCCAATTTGATTGGGCGCCACAGATCTTGGCTCTTAAAAGCTTTGGTCGTGCGACAGGTGCCAAGGGGTTGATCCTTCTCTGATCCCGTTTTTTGACACGGAAATCAAGATTCTGCGACCAATCAGAATGCCCTGGACAACTGAGATCTAAGCTTGATTCGGGAAGAAGATGCTTGGGATATATTTCTGGAGACGGCGTGATTATGACCGCTCGCTCTTGGCTTCAGCTCTGCGAGCGGGAGCGGCTGGGCTATCAGAATCGTTATGAGATAGATCTGAGCCGTTGTTGATCCCCATTTGCGTGGATCTTCTCCGTGCGGCTTTTGAGTATTTGCACAGGTAGGTGACGCCTTATCTCATTCCTCAAGAGTTTTCATTCAGAGGAAGAAGTCTGCATCGCTTCTCAAAATACCATTACACTTTCTCACGAATCCAAAAGTCTGAAGTACATCAGGTTTCAATATGGTCGAGATCACGATAGGATATGTCGCTGGATTTATTGCAGCGGCGGTCTTTGTTGGTGAGCATACTTCCTCGCGCTATTAGCTCCATAGAGTGTATCTCTGACAGCTTGATGTTCACAGTACGATTATGGATTCCGACTATCCTGACATTTATTTTGTCGGGAGCTTTACAAGACAAGAACACGGCTGCAACATGGTTAGCACTTTTCTGCGTAAAACCTCCTAAATCGATATCTGACCGCTAAGTAGGAATGTAGCCGGACGTGCTCTTCAAAAGTCTTACTGGCCGATGATTCTCAGCGCCGATACTTCACGTAACCATGGAGTGCGAACCAAGGTTGTCATCATCACAAGTCTGATTACGTTGATGTCAATTATCGTCGCTATAGCTGGCGTTATCACTCCACTTGGTCTTTACGAAGCTTTAGTTGAGGCGGATTCAGCAAACGTTGCATTCCAATATGTCAAGGATTCTTCACCTTTCGACTATGGTACCCCTCCCAGGAGCAATCTTTCTTTCAACCGAGCATGTTTCCCCTCACCTTGCCCTTTCTCGGACACAATAGCTATTGGTACCATTTATTCCAGTGGCAATGGAAGCTATGACTTTCCTTACGGGTATAATACGTCCATCCCAAACTTCATCACCGAAGCATACTCTAGCGGGACAGCAGATGACAGCACCATTTCGAATTATTTCGACATTCAATGGAGGAGATACGTTACTACGAACGATGAAAGATACAATAATGGCTCAACATACCTCATCGGGGCATTTCGTCAAATGCAAAGCATGGTCCTGAACAACGACATCGAAGCAGTGGAAGGCCTGATCGTCGATACCATCAATGGAGGTATAGGAATGCGGAATCACAGTGTCCCACCCGGCTTCGAACATGGCGCTGCTTGGTCTGAGGACCTGCTCTTCATCGAACCTGAGACAGTTTGTGTGGATACAAATATCACAATAGATTACACTGTGGCACCAGGCCAGAATTTCACCACTTCCATCATCGATCTAGTCTTGACAGACCATGGTGGCTTTGTCAATGCCAATACGACGTACCCGGAAGCGAACCTGACCGATACGCAAGCGAATCCTGATTTATGGATGAGAGCATACAAGGCAGGCTGGATGACAAATGCTTGGACTATGTTCTACTACAACATCACAAATCCGCATGACGAGACAACTGGACGACACGCATTCTCATACCTGAATTCACAGCTTGGCAAGACTTTTCCACTTCCTATCTACGAAGACGAGATGACTCCATACGATAGTCTGGCAATGGATACCTCTTTCTATTATCACTTGAATATGCTGAGTGGAACGGGAATTACCAATTCCTCTTCACCTGCAGATTCAGGACCTCCTACGAATCCCTTTGATATTACTAGTAGCAACTTCACTGATATTTGTGAGTGAACATCTGGTATGCTTGCCTCCCGACTAACAAGTTGATAGCCCTTATCTGTGCTGGTGCCGGTGGTCAGGATTTCGCCAATATTACGAACATTTTCGTCAGTTGCGGTCTCATGCGAGGCATTCCGCAGAGAAAGGACAACGGTTCGCCACTTATCTTTGACAGTGGTAGCCGATGGACTCAACCACTTTACTCGTGTGCAACTGCGGTGAAAGCGACAATCAAAACCGTCTCACTTACCTATAACGGGACTGACGAGTTGAAGAGCTTGGCCGTCAACAGTGTCAAAGATAAGATATATCCTTCGGAAGAGGTCAAGCCGCTATGGGGCGTCGAAAACACTGACAACACCTACACCATGGCCTCAATTTCTTTGATCTGGGGCCTCATCTCATCTGCTTGGGAAACAAATCCGAAGATTTCCACAGTTCGACAAGAATCACTCTACCTTCCCGGCTACGGTGTCTCAACTTCTGCGCCCCTCCGCGTCACTTCACAGAACCTACCCGCAAGTGACTTCTATCAGACCGCAGTTGGAGGAGCGTATGATGTGGGCGACTCATCAAGCGCAGACTTTGATTATAGTGGTGAAAACAACATGGCAATGTGGGTTCGATGGCAGAACCTTTCAAGCTCACCTGAGACGGCGGCTTTGATTCCGAATTCGATCTTCACAGATTACGCTGCAGCTGCGGTCGTCGGTACGAAAGGTGTTCTTGGGCCGGGCAACGCAGCAACTCTTAACCTGGTTGACATCAGAGTCATACCAACCGTGGCGAGGATCCGATATCACTACGCATTTGCCATACCAGCATTGATCGTAGTGATAGGGCTGTTGGCAACCACTACTGTTGCGATCCTGATGTTGGTGTTCCGACGTGGTGTTTTGGGAGAAATGAGGAGGCATCTGAAGCAGAGCGCGACTGGAAGGGTGCTCACGACGTTTTTGTATCCGGATATGGAAGTGATGGATTTGACAGAGAAGGTATGGAGTGAGAAGTTTGCGAAAGTAGAGGTTGATATGCGGGGCGACTGTCCAAGTCTTAGTGGGGTTAGAGAAGTAAGCGAGACTCAAAAAGGGGGTCTGGGGATGGTTGAGTATCGAAGCTTGAGAGATCAGGATACAGAGCAGGCACTGCAGGCCTTTCTGGGTACAATGAGTACAAACATATCACAATTCAACAAGAAAAGATCTGCGCTATCGTCGATGAATACAGAAGCAGCACAGCTTTCAAGACAGACATATGATGAGGGTTGAGAGCAGGTCTACCTGCTGGATAAGTCCTCTTCTTGAAAACTCAAAGAGCCGTCTGGGTCACGTGAAATGCTCGATGATCAAAATGAATGTACACAATACCTAAATGCAACCTCGAAAAACAGAAGGGTTTCTCAAATGACGATTGGAAAATGAATTGAAATCAGAGACTTGTGGTCTGTAATAACCCTGAGGATGAACCGCAGACTTGGGTCCCAGTCAACGCAACTTGCGTGTTGTCCAACTCTGCTGGCTTGCCACATCATAGAAATCAGATGTTCAACGGAGGGGTTCTTCTAAGTATGCTTCACTTGAGATACTTGGTGTTGGGGTCTCTGATGCACGTTCAGTATGAAGCGTTTCAGTCGAGATGTCATGGTCAAGCTCGCTTCTCAACGGCGCTAAAAGATAGGTTAAGTTCCTTTTCATCTCATCAACTTCACGCTCTCACTTTTCTCCATTTTTGACCGTCTACCGAGGCCCGTACGTACACTGTGCTCATAACGACTTTTTCAAAATTCTGTGGCCTCCACCCAAGCTTAGAAGACTCCAAAATTACTATTTTTGGCGCTACACTTAAGCTACGATCCATTATATAATACATATTAGCTCATATATCATTTTTCTAATAATATAAAATAATGAAATCGTTGTTATGCGCAAGTGAAAGTAAAATAAATGTACAAGCCTAAGGCAGCAGTATAAATCGGTCTATTTAGCGAGTACTACAGTCGCACTAGGTGGTAAGCTTATCATAATAAATGCACCTTAGCGAATCGCTTAGGCTGTGATGCCTGACAGCCTGACAGCTGCGCAGGGCATTAAGTAAGCTCGCGGTGGACAAAAAAACCCGGACTAAATAGACACCCCAACAAAACTATGCTTTCTTCCACAACATTACTTAATTATCAATACTTCACACATGTTCATAAAATTATAGTGTATAATAAACTCGGATCTCGAGTATTTAATAGATTAATTCTTTTACTTTTGCGATTTTTCTAAAAATTGAAATTAAGAATTAAAAAGAGGGTGTTGCTCACACCATCGCTTAATTAGTCCGGGTTTTTCTGTCCACCGCGAGGTAAGCTATAGCTGCTCCAGCTTATAATAAGGACTCTTAATCTTATTATTTTACTAATAAAAAACATAATAAATGTGCAGAATTAAAATAAGTGCAATTGCAGTCTAATTGCATCGCGATAATTAATTATTCTTAGTGTTTTAGGGTCTTCGAAGCTTGGGTGGTGGCCATAGAATTTTGAAAACATCGTTATGAGCACAGTGTACGAGCGGGCCCCGCTACGGTCACAAGTATTCAAATGTCAAATACCTTCAATCATATCCAAAGCACTTCTATTACAACTATGCATCCTTCTGGCTCGTTCGATGATCCTTTACCAGGGCTCCTCAATCTGGATATGTCCTTCTCGCCTTATCAGTGTCCTTCTCATCCTATATCATTTTGCCAACTAAGGGACACCTCGACCAGACAAAGGTGTTCTGACAACCTTTTCCAGCATAGTGTGACCTTACGTTTCAATAACTTGATGCATCCTCAAACGTATTGAGCATTACTAAAAGACATCGACTCAGCGTTACCTCTCAATACAGAGAATAGACAGTCTCACGTCTATGTTCCCCTTCACCAAGCACAATTCCAGCAAGGAACATGTAATTCCGAAGGAATACAGCGGAAACGCAGACTAGCCTCCACAACTTCGCCAATAGTTGGTGTGAGTTGTCGAAAGCAACTTTAAATGATAATAACTATCAGTCACGTGTGTGGCTGGATATAACAGGGCATACCTAGACAGCCTTTCACCATTCACGGTCGAGGAACGTAAGTGGCCCGGTATATTTCAGCCACAAAGTTGAATTGAATACAATAGCTAAATTTCATTGGATAGGCCTGGATTCACCATGCAAAGTGGCCAGACATGGCGCCGTGTTAGTTCTCGTGATTAATTGCGAAGGATAAGCGGAACTATAACAACCCGCTTGGCTTGTCTACTCTCATGATATATCTCATGGTCACCTAATTCTCCACAATATTCCATTTATCAACGAAGTCTCCCTTTGCTACCTAAAAGATGACAAACGTCGATGTTCTTATCGTTGGAGCAGGTCCATCTGGACTTATGCTTTCGCTGGAGCTTGCTGCTCAGAAGATATCGTTTCGCATTGTCGACTCAACTTCAATTCGAAGCGACAAAAGTCGAGCATTAGTTCTCCATCCCCGAACTCTCGAGCTTCTCAATCGACATGGAATTGCTCAAGACTTTATCGACCGTGGGGTACTCAATATGATGGTGCGCATCTTCGCAAACCAGAAGTTTGTTTTTGAAAACGACTTCGGTACCGTGTCATTTCCCGACACAATGTACCATGGCCCTCTGATGATCAGCCAGGCAGACATCGAGTCTATTCTCGACGAATTGTTGCTGAAGCAGGGAGTGAAAGTGGAGCGTCCCGTGACGGCAGAGGAAATCTTGCAAGATGAAAATGGTGTAACTGCTATTTTACGAAACCAAGATGGCAGCAAAGAAATTATTCGTTGTAAATATGTGGTTGGTTGTGATGGACCGCATAGCGTTGTACGCAAATCAGCAGGCTTAAAATTCGAAGGAGCTGCATATCCTCAGGATTTCATTCTCGCAGACGTGCGAATGAAATGGCAAGCCAAGGAATGTCTCCACATTTTCATCGGCTCTGGATTCATGATGGTCTTTCCGATGAAGAATAATATCTGGCGTCTAGTATGCTCACGGAACCCATCAGAGACCGATGTCGAGCCAACACTTGAAAACTTTCAACAAAGGATCAACAAGCTTCTCCCTGAGCCTACCGAGCTATTCGACCCGACGTGGATGACCAGATTCAAGCTTCATCATCGGATTGCTGATAATTATCGCGCTGGTCGCATGTTTCTCGCTGGAGATGCAGCTCATATCCATTCTCCTGCTGGTGGTCAAGGAATGAACACTGGAATACATGATGCCGTCAATTTAGGTTGGAAGCTTGCAAGTGTCATTCGAGATGACAGGGATGAGACTCTACTGGAATCCTACAACATCGAACGACGCAGGATCGGACAAATCCTCCTGCAAGGCACTGACAAAATCTTCGAATTCATGGCGACAACCAATCCTGTGTATCTCTTTTTGCGAAACTACATCCTTCCGCTCATAATGCCGTGGGCTATGAGCATACCTGGTCGTCGAGCACTTGCGTACAGATTCGTCTCAGAACTTGGCATTCGTTATCGCCAAAGTCCCATTGTTGGACAAACAAGTACATGGAAAGGAGCACTCAAGGGTGGAGATAGAGCGCCTGACGGAAAGCTTCTGCGTGGGGATACCGAGATCACAGTCCACTCTCTCCTTGGAGCATGCAGTCATAGCCTCCTGCTGTTCTCAGGCATCGGTGAGAACAGAGCTAGTGCAGAGGATCTGAGGAAAGCCGAGTCGCCGTTGCTCAATGACATCAAGCGACCAATACTGACAAGCAAAATCACGACGTCCTCCCTGCAAAGCAATCAGATCTTGGATTCTGAAGGACGAGTCCATCAACTTTTCGGCTTCACAGCGCCTGGCTTCGTGTTGATCCGTCCCGATGGCCACATCGAGTTCATCGGATCTATCGCGTCTTTGGACGAGCTGATTGTCTGGAAAGAGGAGCAGAAGCTCTGACTCAGCAGTGCTCCATTTCGTGTCAGTCTTGCGGCGCTGCGTGCACAGAACCTGTGATGGGTTGAACCCATTCTGTGGCTATGCCCCTAAATGGGCATAGCCGTCACGTGAGCAGACGCTCGGGCCTTGGCGCCCTCACAAAAGGATTTCTCCGGGGAGAATCCTTCTTTCCTTAACTAGTTCTTTTTGTAATACACATAGCTTGTTACTTTGACTCATTGTATTAGTGTGACAGCACGGTTGGACTCAAGTACGTAGACGAGGAATCGATTAGGCTATCTCTTAGAATCTAAAGGTAAAGAGGAAAGAAAGGAAGGAAGCGCCGGAAGGCAGGGCATATATACAGGCGAGCGGTCACGTGAGTATTTCGTAGCGGGCACGTGACTCTATAACCGTGACAAATACTAAGGTAAAGAGCTGAGGACAGCTCTTAGGAGTGCTTATATACAGGATTCTGCCAGGCGGTGAGTTGTTACGTGATAGGACTAAAACCAGCACTGTGACAAAATTCGTTAAAAATATTATAAATTTTTATTTTTATTATTATATTAAATAACGTATTTACGTCGCTAAATTTTTTTAATTTTAAATCGAAATATTATTTAAAATGCGTTCGTGTTTACTAAGTTTATAATATTAGTTTTTTTTTAAAAAAGTGTTACGGTTATAGAGTCACGTGCCCGCTACGAAATACTCACGTGACCGCTCGCCTGTATATATGCCCTGCCTTCCGGCGCTTCCTTCCTTTCTTTCCTCTTTACCTTTAGATTCTAAGAGATAGCCTAATCGATTCCTCGTCTACGTACTTGAGTCCAACCGTGCTGTCACAT